ATATCAACTTTCCGGATCGATCTGGCCGGACACCATTTTCCCTGGCAGCCCAATGGGGCCACGAGGCAGTGGTCAAGCTTCTGCTTGCAACAGAGAAGGTTGATGTGAATTTTAAGGATCAGGATAGATTAGGCCGGACACCACTGCTCTTGGCGGCAGAGGAGGGCCACGAGGCAGTAGTAAAGCTTCTGCTTGCAACAGACAAAGTGGATGTAGACGTGAAAGACCGCGAAGGCTGCACGCCACTCGACAAGGCGTTGATGAATGATCATGAGGCAGTGGTGAAGCTTTTACAGAAACGATAATTCCCACCCACGTATAGAGGCGGTATCCTTGAAATGTCGACCCCTGGCATCTAGTTGGATCCCAAAACACATGATGTATACAGACCTGTAGGATTGCATACCTGGCAGCAAGAAGACGAATATAAGGACAGCAATTTTCAAGGCACGATTGAAGATCAGACACCTCATGGCAAAAGTGGATGGTGATCAATTCAGCTACGAAGGACTGACCTTCAGAGGAAATAGCTAAGAACCGGCAGTGAACGGACCGAGCAGTAGACCTTCCGTCGAGAGCTCTCATGATAGATAAAATGAGTGATTGCTGAAGGCTTTAGCTCTTACAAACTGACACCACTACCCACCCCTTGCCACCTGACAGTCTTGCCGATCAACCACCAGTATCACAGGACCCGCTACAACTATACTTCCTTCTCCCTAAGCAGTCGCCGAACTAACAAAGTACGTCGCTGCCACCGGCCGACCCACCGCCGCCACAACAGGAGCCAAACTGAAATTGAATCGTGCATTCGTGGTTTGATCATAGTACAAGCCCTCAACAGCCGCAGCAGGCGGAACATAGCCCTTTGGCTGGTTGAAGAGATAGATTGTATACGTATGCTCAGTGCTGTCCCTGGGTCGCGGGGCGGTATACGGTGCCAGGGCATCGCTTGCGTTGACGAAGGTTCGACCTTCCAAGGTGTAGTTTCCGCCCCACCAGTGCAGACGAGTGGTGGTATTGGTTGTCAGTCCAGGGACAAGGGTGGAGTACTTGGCTGCTGTGGTGACGTCGGAGTCGGGGATGTTGAGGTCAAGCATCAGGATCATGTAGGTTCCGGGGTAGGCATGCTTGACGTTGCCGGGGTAGATAGATGGAGACGAGGTCACATCTATAGAGCGATTCGGTTAGTTTGTTGAAGGAGTCTCGTGGTTTGAAAGGCTGTGATGTATTGAGTGCCATACCGTCGGGATTGATCCATAGACCGGGAGTGACGGTCTCGTTTCCGAACGAGGCGCTTAGATTGACTTGCGTTGCTGGCCAGCTCCCTGCAGGAGTCTGTGCCAGTGCTGTTGCTGCGAGGAGCGCTGATGAAAGAATTGTGGCGGTGCGCATGATGCTTGTTGAGTTGGGTGGAGAGCTTCGGAGTGGCTTTCTGGGATAAGAGCGAGGAGATAGCGGGATAATGTGGGCGAATATGTAATGTTTTAAGTCCGAAGCAAAGGCAACGATAAACCTTGTGTAGGTATACGCAGCCATAGGGCGAGCTATGAGCATTCGAGACCAAGTGGAGAGGCCTCGTCATCACTGGGCTTTTCACTGGGGATGTCGGAGGTCGGATGTCGGAGGAAACATCTAAATGCGGGAAAAGCATGCTGTCAAATCTCGGGCATAGAGTTTACATTAATTTCGGTGAAAACGAGTCAAGGATCGGATGATGGGTTGTGCCATCCTAAATGACTAGACATGTCTTGGACACAGGCCGCATAAACGGCCTCAGACCACGACCCAAATATATGGTTATGTCTAAGCTTATTTGCAGGATGAGCAGCTATCCACTAAATGTATGTAATGCATTAACTAATATCTATTAAATATCTATTAACAGTTTTCTAGTGTGCTTAGTATCGACATAAATCATAACTTGCAACGCGTCATCAAACATCTGATTAGTGTACATCGTGCTCAACATGCCAAGAATTCAATCTAAGAGCGCAGTGCGCTATCCAGCAAGCGATCGATAAAAATCGCCCTCTAATGCTTCTCTCCCTGTTCTTCGTCGTCGCTAAAAGCGAACTTGGAGAAACGACGAATAGACGCCCCCTTGAAATAGAAGACATACGGGATCGCACAGCAGGCGAGGGCGATGAAAGCAAGCAGAGAGCTTGCCCACTGGTAGCCGAGTCGGGCGTACATTTGCTCAGTGAAGAGAACAGTAGATGCACCCCAGATGGAGCGAATGAATGTCTTGGCGGCAAGGGCGGAGGCGGCCTGGTGCTGATAGGTATCCACTATAATTGTATGAGTGACTGATCCTCACTGAAAGTGCTTGGTGTGACTTACCGAGATAATTATTGGCCGAGTTATACAAGAAAATGAAACCAAAACCGACTGGCCAGCCTCCGATGGCAGGACCGATCCAATGAAGTCTGGGATAGGAGGTCCAAGCGAAGATGAAGAGTCCGATCGGAATAAGCCAGCAGGAGAACATCATCGGGATCAGACGAGCTTCAGCCGGGGGCTTTCCATTATACTTCTTGTACAGTGACAAGTAGTGCTTGTTCACAAATGGTGCACATGCAGCGCTCATGAGAACGCCGATAGCGAGAGGGATGAACATCAAACCCGTGGATCCGGCGCTCCAACCTTTGCCACCTTGATAAACAACCGGGTAGCTGCGGGGAAGAGAGTTAGAAGATTCGCTCTGTACCAATCTAGGGGACAAATACTCACGCAACGAAGAACATGTACAGCAGGCCGTACAGGACCGACATGTAGAGAGCCATGAACAAAACAATGGGTTCCAGACAGAGAAGTTGGAAGGGACGGAACAGAGTCATTCGCAATCTCTCCGCCAACGGTCTAGCATCCAGCTCCATCTCAGTGACGTACTTGGGGTCATCCTTTTCCTTTCTGAGCTTCTTCGCCCGTCGCTTCAGCAGGGTAGGCGCATAGGTCTCAGGGACAGTGAACGTGATCAGCACCCAAGCCACAAAGGCAAGGATCAACTGCAACCAGTAGAGCCATTTCCAATTTGTTGCATCAGCAAGGTAGCCACCAGCGAGAGGCCCAATGGCGGGACCAAGGAAAGGACTGGCTGAGAAGGCTGCCATCGGGACGCCTCGTTCTTCGTTTTTCCAGAGATCGGCGAGTGTACCGCCTACCAGTGTCATCGGGGCGCTGAATGCAATGCCATCAATTGCTCTGCAAACTATAAGGGTCGCAATATTGGGCGCAACAGCACATGGAATGACGAAGATGACGGCCAAGAGCAAGGTGGATGCATAGACGAGTCTGCGGCCTACAATCTCCGACAGAGGGGCGAACACCATGGGACCTACAGGCAACCAGTCAGTCACTCTGAGCTCAGTGATATGGTAGTATACAAAGACTTCCAATCAGGATGCGACTTACCGACTCCAAACCCAATAACGAAGACCGTCACCACGACCAGACTAACCTCTCTGGAAACGCCAAATGTTTTTGCGGGTCCTTCTATATCGGCGGTGATAACACTGCTTGAGAAAGCGACCACGAAGCAAGTGAACGAAACGACCATGGTACAGTACCACTTGTATGCTTTGGACCAGTTCTTGGGGTTCTCCGGATCATCGATGCTGAAGGTGACCAGCCTCCAGTCTTCATCCTGTCCTGTCAGGGCAGACCGCACGGGTTTGATTATCTCCCCGGTTGTTGTTTCCGTAGTATATTCTTCCATGTTGGCACTATCGTTCACCTCTCGATATGGTAGGTCCAAGGGATCCGAATTCGGATCAGACGCCATCGAGTGGGTTCGGCGGGGATAGTCATTATGGGTCTTGACTCGTTCTAGAGGCTCCATATTTTGAGTGTGAAGAGAGACTGTTCGGAGACGGTTCAGAGACGGATACCACAGTCTGTGAGGTTGATGTGATAAGAAACATGGTGTCGATGGGCAGACTACATGACTGCATTTATAGAAATGACCTATAGCCACAATGCTATAGAAACTACCACATGAGCAATGAAAAACTTTGATGAGTCGGTCAAGATGCCGCGAGAACCTACACACCAACAGATTAGATGGCAAAAGGTAAAATGAAAAGGCAACCCGCCAGCCCGGGTCCACAGCCGCAGAGGCCATATTTCCCGACTCGGTAGACGGAGCTAACCACTTCTGGCAATATGGCTCGAGGCCCCGATTAGATTATCATCTCTGATCCGACTTGGGTTGATGATTCAATTGCAAGGGGTTCTCAACCTCTGTAAGAAATGCTATATACAAGTCGTGCCATGATCAAGGATCTGTTGGGTATCTCTGATAGAACTACGTTTGCGCACAGGTACTCCGTAGCTAAGTGAGGTACGATATGTGATGCACGTGCACGCACACAATACATACCTCGAATCGCGACCTTGGAACATAAATAAATCAAGGGCACCGCAGTGCTTGTCTCTGAGCGTCGACTAGGCGCATCCTGAGAAGTAGCCTGTCCGAGAGCTAGTTGATGTGATCTGGAAGATCACTAAAGATGCAGGGCAGAACTGGTGACTAGCCTACGAGGCCATGTGACGGCGTGGCTGCCAGCCACGTAAACGTTCATAGGGTGGAAATTTGACTCCGCATGGCCTGATGCTGAATCTTACACAAAAGTCTATCGATGGAGGCGGTTGGGATAAGTGGAAAAGCCAATGTCTGGCCTGGAACTGGATGAACTCGTCCCGTGCTAAGGTGGTGAGGATTGGATGTGGCTGCCAAAGCGCCGGTCGAAACTCGCGGTTGACGGCAGGGCGGCACGCGGAGCATGTTGCCCGAAACGGCAAGGAACCCAGAGCTCAGGCTCGGAATGAAGATGTAATGAAAATTGGAAAACCTCCCCGCGACCCAATAAATCCCCAGGATGTTCCATTCCATTATGCTACATTTAAAGCTGCAGTGGGGACTGGCAGTGAAAGAGAGAATATTGAATGGTGTATAGGTGGTCCTAGCTTTCTGCCCCAGATTGGGGTAGCAACTTGTCCAGAGCATCATCGAAACACAACGACAGAAAATAAGGCTCGCTATGTTGGCTAGGAATTATACACGTGAGACCACGAGAAAAATCCTTTGCGAAAGGGACAATGACTGTTCGACATATACCCTGAGTACAGAGCTTCAATTCCAGGTCAGGTGATAGCATCTGAGAGCTTTCGCGGGTCTTATGAGTGTGTGGCGACATGCGAGACCAAAGAATCAGCAGTATGCACTGTACTCCGTATATACTGAGTTTGCAACTTTGAATTGCAGTTAATACGAGGGCGCCAAAGAGAGTCCTGCGCTGCACGCTGCAAAAGCCAGAGACTCTGCCCAGCTGCCTCAGGCAGCCCGAGTTTGCCGCCGTTTTCCGGGGAAAAGTGCTACTCACGTGACTGATAAGAAGCGACGATAAGCCGGAAGGAGACTAGCGCGGGGTGGTTTTTCGCACCCTCCGTCAACGGAGCAGAAAGATTAATTTTTGATTGATTCTAAGAGACAAGCAGCTCAAACGCTTCCTTCAGTCTGTTGAACTCACTCATTAGAGGTGTGTCTGTGACACCTCTTTCATAGAGGACTTCTTTAGTTCTCTTCACATTCCCAGTCTACTCGACTATATCCTTCCCTCTCCTTTCCGCCACCCGTCCCTCTCTATCCTCCCTCCCGCTCCCCCCCGACCGAGTGACTCACTCTGCACCACCTCAAAATGGCCTCCAACTCGACCTACTTGGCCATTCCCGGCTCTGTCGCCTTCTCCCACTCGCGTGGACGCGCAGTTGCTGCTAGCATTGGAGCCAGCGATGTTCGTGCCCAATGGATTCACTATGTCCACCTTTCTCAGCCTTTGGACGAGTCCCAGCGCGCCGTCTTGGAGCAGCTCCTCCGCTATGGTGATATCACCGATATCCCCCCGACCTTCACCGCTGAAGATGGCTCCTTCGACGTTTTCCACGTCTTTCCTCGCACGGGTACAATCTCTCCTTGGAGCTCCCAGGCTACTGGTATCTCTCACGTCTGCGGCTTGCGCCAGTACGTCAAGCGCATTGAGCGGGGTATGAAGATCTCCTGCCTGCATAGCGGAAGCAACGAGTACAAGGATGGCTTCCAGGATATCCTCCATGACCGCATGACCCAGATCATGAGCGAGAACGAACCGGATCTTCACCTGATGTTCTCCGAACACAGCCCCCAACCCCTCGAGACGATCCCTCTTCACGGCAGCGACAAGTCGCCCAAGGAGGTCCTCCAGGAGGCGAACAAGAGACTTGGATTGGCATTGGAAGAGTCGGAAATCGATTACTTGGCCGAAGCCTACGGACCTAACGGTCCTCTCGCTCGTGATCCTACTGATGTTGAGTTGTTCATGTTTGCGCAGGTCAACTCCGAGCACTGCCGTCACAAGCAGTTCAACGCCTCCTGGGTCATTGATGGAAAGCAGATGCCCAACAGTCTCTTTTCCATGATCCGCAACACCCACAAGAAGAACCCCGAATACACCGTGAGTGCTTACAGCGATAATGCCGCCGTTCTCGAGGGAGATCACTCCGCTTTCTGGGCCCCCAACACGACTACCGGAGAATGGGGCCACACCAAGGAACAGGTGCACTTCCTGGCCAAGGTCGAAACCCACAACCACCCTACTGCTGTTTCTCCTTACCCGGGTGCAGCGACCGGATCCGGTGGTGAAATCCGTGACGAGGGTGCCGTGGGTCGGGGTTCCAAGCCTAAGGCTGGTCTTGCCGGATACTGTGTCTCTGATCTCAACATTCCTGGCTTGAAGCAGCCCTGGGAGCTGGATGTTGGCAAGCCTAACCACATTGCTAGCCCTCTAGACATTATGTTGGAGGCTCCCATCGGAAGTGCAGCTTTCAACAACGAGTTCGGACGTCCCTGCATTTCAGGATACTTCCGTACCCTTCTGACCGAAATCGATGTTGGCAATGGTCAAACTGAGGTTCGTGGTTACCACAAGCCCATCATGATTGCTGGTGGTGTCGGAACTGTCAGACCCCAGCACGCCATCAAGAAGCCCGAAGCTGTCAAGCCTGGCGCCTACCTTGTTGTCCTGGGTGGACCTGCTATGCTCATTGGTCTGGGTGGAGGCGCTGCATCCAGTATCACTTCGGGTGAAGGTTCGGCGGATCTCGATTTCGCCAGTGTCCAGCGTGGCAACGCTGAAGTCCAGCGGAGAGCCCAGGAGGTCATCAACGCCTGTACTTCCATGGGCGACGCCAACCCCATCAAATTCATTCACGACGTCGGAGCTGGTGGACTTTCCAATGCCCTTCCTGAGCTCATCCACGACTCTGGTCTGGGTGCCACTTTTGAGCTTCGTGAGATCGACAGTGCCGACAAGAGTATGAGCCCCATGCAGATCTGGTGCTGCGAAGCTCAGGAGAGATACGTCATGGCTGTTGGTGAGGAGAGCATGAACAAGTTCACCGCAATTGCCAACCGTGAACGTTGCGGTTTCTCTGTTGTCGGCCGTGGCGGAGGTACCTCTGAGGAGGAGAAGAGGCTCATTCTCTTGGACCGCGAGTCCACCGAGTACCCGAAGCCCATCGACCTGCCGTTGTCTGTTCTTTTCGGCAAGCCTCCTAAGATGACCCGGGTTGTCGACTCCCGCAAGTTAACGCTGCCCGCTGTCGATGCTAGTCTCTCCACATACCTTCCCTCCCTCGCTTCCAACCCCCTTGAGCTCCTCGGAGAAGCCGCAAAGAGAGTTCTGTCCCTTCCGGCCGTCGGATCTAAGTCTTTCCTCATCACCATCGGTGACCGGACTGTCGGTGGTCTCACTGCTCGTGACCAGATGGTTGGCAAGTGGCAGACTCCTGTGGCCGACGTTGCTGTCACTGCGACCGCACTGGTTCAGGGCGTGAAGTCTGGTGAGGCCATGGCCATGGGTGAGAAGCCTACACTTGCCCTCATCTCGCCCGCTGCTTCGGCCCGCATGGCGGTGGCTGAGTCTCTCATGAACATTGTTGCGGCTGATCTTGTTGATCGCTTGAGCCGCGTCAAGCTTTCTGCTAACTGGATGTCTGCCAGCAGCCATCCTGGTGAGGGTGCTGCCATCTACGAGGCCGTGGAGGCTATTGGTATGGAGCTTTGCCCCAAGCTTGGCATCAGCATTCCCGTCGGAAAGGACTCCATGTCTATGAAGATGAAGTGGAAGGATGAGACTTCCCAGGAGGCCAAGGAAGTCACTGCCCCTATGTCTCTTGTCATCTCTGCTTTCGCACCTGTTGCCAACTACCGTAAGACCTGGACCCCCGCCCTGCGTCGTCTTGAGGACGTTGGCGAGACTGTTCTGATGTTCGTCGACCTGTCTTTCGGTCGCAAGGCTCTGGGTGGTTCCGCTCTTGCTCAGGTCTTCAATCAGGTTGGAGACGAATGCCCCGACATCCGCGACATCGAGATCTTCAGAGATTTCTTCGATGCCGCTCAGCAGTTGCAGGAGGCAGGCATTGTTCTGGCATACCACGACCGTTCCGATGGTGGTCTCTTCACTACCCTGGCTGAGATGATGTTCGCCGGCCGCTGCGGTGTTGAGATCATGATTGACAACATCTGCGCTAGCTCCAACACCAAGAATGTTGTGGAGACCCTGTTCAACGAGGAACTGGGTGCTGTCTTCCAAGTCCGCAAGGAGCATGAGATTCAGTTCCGCTCTTGCTTCGCCACCTGCGGGCCTCCTGCTGGCTTGATTCACAAGATTGGTCGTGTTTCCGAGAAGTCTAAGCAGAACCTCACCATTTACCACAAGCACACATTGGTTCACCGCAACAGCCGTGCCAACCTCCAGCAGACCTGGGCTGCCACGTCCTACCACATGCAGAAGATGCGTGACAATGCTGCCTGCGCTGACCAAGAGTATGCTAGCATTCTTGATGATGCCGATCCTGGTTTGTCCTGGAACGCGACTTTCGACCCGAAGGATAAGGCCATGCCTCTCTTGACCAGCCTGACCCAGATGTCGCCCTTCAGCAACAAGCCCCGTGTTGCTATTCTGCGTGAGCAAGGTGTCAACAGTCAGGCTGAGATGGCTTTCGCCTTCAACATGGCCGGCTTCTCTGCCGTTGACGTCCACATGACGGATGTCATCTCCGGCCGCGTCTCTTTGTCTAGCTTCGTCGGTCTTGCCGCCTGTGGTGGTTTCTCCTACGGTGATGTTCTCGGTGCCGGCCAGGGTTGGGCCAAGTCTGTCCTGCTGCACGACAACACTCGCAACGAGTTCCAGTCCTTCTTCCAACGCCCCGACACTTTCGCCCTGGGTGTCTGCAACGGTTGCCAGTTCCTCTCCCGTCTCAAGGAGTTGATCCCCGGCGCCGAGAACTGGCCCAGCTTCGAGCGCAACGCCAGCGAACAGTATGAGGGACGTGTCGCCTTGGTCCGCATCTCCGATCCCGACCCGTCTCGTCCCAGCGTCTTTCTCCACGGCATGGACGGCTCTTCCTTCCCTATCGCCGTCGCTCACGGAGAAGGTCGCGCTTCGTTCGCCCCTGCTTCCGGTACTACCGCTCAGTCTTTCGTTGCCGAGGGTCTGGCCCCCGTTCGCTATGTGGACAACGCTACTCTCAAGCCCACTATGAAGTACCCTGCCAACCCCAACGGCAGTCCTGAGGGTATTGCCGGTGTCCGCAATGCTGACGGTCGTGTGCTGGCCATCATGCCTCACCCCGAGCGTACGGTCTTGGGCGGCATTGCCAGCTACCTGCCTCCCAACGCTGAGGAGTGGGGCGACATTGGCCCATGGGGTCGTGTCTTCCTCAGCGCCAGAAGATGGGTTGGTTAGACGTTTTGTCTCAATCCTGGTACCGCGCCTGGTTTGAATGAGATGTACAGCTTTTGGAGGAGAGAAAAAACCAAATCCAAGGTCACGGCGCATGTCTTGAGCTTTTTAATGATATATATACAACAACATCCACCCCTTTCTTCATTTTCCTGTCTGTTGGAAATGATGTTTTATGATGACATGTGCGAGAAAAATATGAGTGTTCAATTAGTTTCACCTGGTTGGTTGTTCTGGGTTTAGTGCACCGCATGAACACAGAATGTGAATAACTTTCAATGAAATCCTTCATCTTATTTCTCTCCCTAGTATAAAACAGGCTGTAATCGTTTATCCCACCTCTATTCTCTACACCTGCCATAGACCAGATAGGGCCCAGGGAATCCGACCCAACCTCTAAGCGAAGGGGCGGTAGCCGTAACCGAGCGTCACAATCTCGAGAAGGCGAAGCATACGGTAGGGTAGGAGGTATGCAGTATATACTGTTCTAGCTCCTTCCACTGTGCGGCAGGTACAGGAACTAGCCCAAGCTTCGACCGGAGTCGGAGAACGCATCCATCAATCTCAAAACATGGCACGATCCTGCCTGCCACGGCCAAAGCTTATATTCCTGTACTCATAAAAGGGTAATGTATGCTGATCAGCGGCTTAGCCCGCGCCTCACCGGTCGCGCTGGTTCGTTGCCTCGGTCTGCAGGATTGCAGCTCCAACCCATTTTCCTAATTGGGGTCGGGGATAAGCTTTCCGTGTTGCTTGGGTTTCTGGGCTTTGATGGTTTGGTGGTTGAAAATGTTGGGTGTGGTGTGTGCTATTCCATCCTTTTGCTTGTCCAAATCCGAAGGGAATTGTTGTGAATATCATTAAAGATTTGATCATCAATTGCAGTATCTTGTCTCTGGATATACGTTTATTTCTTGAATTAAATGAAAGGCTGATTGCAATCATCGATATGATATTGCTTCTTCGACATCGGGCGTGCCTTCCTTGCAGCCCACGAACGAATCGCAACCCAGTTCACCCGAAGGAGAAAATCCAAAGCCAACATCCCAGACCCGTCAGCGACGTCTGGATTGGCTGAATTCAGAATCTCTGGCTCGCCACGATAAATTAGGGCCGATCTTGCAGACTAAGTATTCTAGAAGGGGGTCTAAGAATAGGTGGGCGGGGGGCCGAATTTCCCTCTACGGAAACTGGGGTTTCGGACCCCATGCGCCCTATACGGGCTGCTGTTTCGGGATGGCATGATGGTTCTTCTAGAAACTTTAGAGCAACTATTGAAAGGGGGTTGGATTGTTTTCGGAGACTATGAGCAGGATGAGTGGCCTCCAGTATTGGACTTGCGACTGGTCATTAAAAGTGGGTATGCCGGTGAAGCCATCGGCGGAAAGTGAAATAAGCGAGACATCTGCGGCCCCATCTTGCCCACCACTTACCTTGCAATGGAGGATCGGCGATGGATCGCATGGTTGAAGGATTTGAGAGTGCTGCAGATTCGCTGACCGTCGTATACTGAAACCGCCGGTTGCCCCATCATGCATCCTCCTGGCCATGCGGGCTTGGGGTATTGGTATGCCGACATTGAGGCGACGAAGCAAGTGAAGTGTATAAAGAGGCGTGCTGCGCAGCTACAGAACGGCCTTTCTCCAGTATCGACAGCAACGGGAGACTTCGTGCATACTTCGCCTCTCGCAACATCATTCAATATATCTCTGTTCGACCTTATCCATCATGGCCCCCAGACTCTTCAAGGGAATGGCCCTCGCAGGCCTCGTCTCCGCCGTCGCGGCTTGCTCGACCGAATCAGACGTGACGGTCACCTTCTATGGCTATCCTGACAATGATCCCCCAAGTGCGGACATTGCTTATGACTGTGGCCGTGGATACACTGCTGGTGGTAAGTACGGCCCTCACACTGACGGCGACAAGCGAACTGACAGTATGCAGGTACCGGTACCTACAGCGACCCCTTGACCTTCGCTTCCGCGTCTGGCGAGTTTGAGCAGTGTGAGATCATCTATCTTCCCTACCTGAAGAAGTACCTTCGGTACGAGGACGAATGCGCCCAGTGTAGTACGTTATCTCCCCTCTGCATCGACGCCAAGAACGCAGGTACTGACCCGCCACAGCTACGGACTACAAGTCCGGCAAGTTGCACATCGACATCTGGACTGGCTCCAACTCCGACGGAGGCGACACCCAGATCGACTGCGAGGACAACTTGACTCCCGACTCCCAGTCGATCGTCCTCAGCCCGGCGAGCTCGTACACCGTCGACTGTAAGTTGAATCCCTTCCATTGTACCCGACTTTTGTCGGTCTCGGAAATTCAAGCCCGCTAATCTTCGTTCTGCTAGCTACCGCGCTTTTCGCCAATGGCAAATGCTACACCTCCAACACCTACAGTGGTGCTGAGGCGTCGACCTACTGCTCTTCTTCGGGATCCGGCAGCAGCTCCAGCTCCGGCTCGTCGTCCTCTTCGTGCTCTTGGTCGGGTCACTGCGCCGGTAAGTCGGCTCTGTCTGTTGTTGACTGATTGACTGGCGCTTGGTCTGTGGTACTAAGTAGTGTGATGAAATATAGGTGCCACCTGCTCCACGGAGAATGATTGCTCGGATGATCTCACCTGCCAGAACGGCAAGTGTGCGTAACTCGAGTCTGCTTTCGAGTTCTACTGTAACATCAGTGCGTTGTGCAGCGGCTAAATTTGAGATTCAGAGAGAGTTTGGACGGTGAACGAACTGAGGGCGTGGCACATGTATCAATAGACGCATAAGCTTATTTGTCGAATTGATTGGTCTATCATATTGAGAAGCTCCATCTCAATGTACGGGTAGCATGACTTTGGCATGCCTTGAAGCTGATTTTACCTCTTAAATATCAAAGCGGTTCTGCAGCACGTCGATCCCGATGGAGATCTGTTTCACATTCCGGGAGAAAGCGGAGGGCGTGAAGCGATTACACTTCCTCTTTGTGTCCGTTGTTCCCGGGAGCACCTGTGTGACAGCTATGCTGTCCGTAGTGGGTGCTGAATTTGTTCATGTGATGGGGGCGCTCCGGGTATTCGAACAACTTTCGAACCATATATAGCCTCCCGGTGAAATGGTGAAAGCTGAAGCGACGCCACGCAGAGCAACTGCAGCAGAAGACAATACATCGTCATGATTATTAAGCTGGCAACCTCATGGATCGTTCTCCTAGCGCTTCTGCTGGTACCCACCTGGCTTGGTAGACTCGCCAATGCCGAAGAATCTCTTCAGTCGGGGAACGAGACCGTAATCAGACGTGGTTTCTGCATCATTGGCGGCGGTGCAGCGGGGACCTATGCTGCGATTCGCCTCCGGGAGCTGGGTCAGGATGTTGTGCTTGTGGAGAAGACAGGTCGCCTGGGTGGCCAGTCGCGAACGCACTTCGATCCAGTCACACGCGCCTCGATCGACTATGGCGTGAGGGCGTTTGAAGATTGTTCTGAAACCAGGAAGTTCTTCAAGCATTTCAACATCCCGCTGAGTCTTGACACCTCAATGGCAGACGTTGAGGTCCTGAGATTTGACTTCCGCACGGGGGTGTCAGTGCCGCCATACCCAGGCAATACGAAGGCGGCCATCGAGCGCTATACCATGGAACTTCAGCGATATTCGTATTTGGCTCAAGGATGGAATTTCTCGGAACAGGTGCCAGAGCCCCTTCTCGAGCCATTCGGTGACTTTGTCAAAGAGCACGATCTGGGGCCGGCAATGGAGACAGTGACCATCCTCGCCCAAGGCATGCACTATCTGCTTGACTATGCGACTGCATATCCGTTGAAAGTCGTCTCGTTGGGTCGACTCACGGGTCTGGAGCACGGTTACCTGGTCCCCACGCGTCACAATATAACGGAGCTCTACAACGCGGCGCAGCGAGAGTTGGGAGAGGATGTGTTGTTTGGTAGCACTGTTGTGCATGCTCGGCGGTCGGACGACAAGCTTCACCGACTGACCGTCGAATATGATAATGGCGAGAGGGTCGTAATTGAAGCAGATGCGACTATCATGGCTATGCCCCCTAAGATTGACGAGATGGATGGGTTCGACCTTGACAGTCTCGAATCTTTCTTCATTCGCCAGTTCAAGTACGGGTATGTCTACACGGGTCTGATGAGGGACAGCGGGCTCCCGGATGATACCCGGATTTTGAACCGCGGGCTCGACACGCCATATAGGATTCCCAGATACCCATGCATATACTCCATCCTGTCTTCAGAGGTTCCGGGCATCCACCTAGTGACGTATGGAAGTGCAGAGGAGATGAGCGAACAAGAAGTTCGAGATGCGATAGCCGACGATATTGTTCGACTCCAGGAAGGGGGTCTCAATACGACAGAGCCAACATTCCTTGCTTTTGCCATCCATAGTCCATACGACATGTATGTCAGCCGAGAGGCAATGAAAGCGGGATTCTACCAGGACGTGAAAGACTTGCAAGGGCATCGCAACACGTATTGGATTGGAGCCGCCTGGGAGCATCCGGACTCATCGGCTATCTGGAGGTCTGTTGATCGCTTGCTCCCTGCGATCATTGGGGATTAGAGTCTTGGCCTCCGTGAGGACGACGCCGGGGCAGGGAAAAAGCGGAGCTGGTGGCACCCTCGACGACAAGGTATCTAGACAACCGCAGATTGTGAGACCACTGATAGCTTGAGTTCCGCAATGAGTAATGAGTAATGATTGTGCCGCCCCTTGTGAGTGTTCCTATCGTAGAATCGTCCATGTCAGGACAAAGTACCTGAATTAGGTTGCGATAAGCTGGCGAATTCCCCGCTTTTCACGCTCACTTCCCTAGTGCTTATCTTATCGCCTGAAGTGCAAGGGATGGGGGTGATTCGTCGCACCACTCGAGGTTGGACAAGTTGATAAAAAGCCGAGGGGCAGCATATTCTATCTTTTCCCTCATCTCTTGACTCCTTGTTATGGGAGGCTCTGTATATAAGGCTTCATCATCATGGCAGAGCCTTCTGATACAGCTGGTCCTTCTGAGAGCCACGATGCCGAGGACACAACTGCCCTTGCATCGCGCGTGTTGCGTAAGGTGGATCGGCGACTGATACCTCTACTGTTTGTCACCTATTTGCTCAATTATATGGATAAAGCCATCCTTTCTAGCGCCTCTGTGTTTGGATTGACGGAAGATACGGTGCGGCGGACTCGCCCCTTGCAACTCCCGACTCCGCTGACAAGATTCATCTTAGCATTTGGTCGGACAACAATACAGCTGGGTCTCGAGTATCTTCTATTTCGGGTATTTCTTTTGGGAATGGGTACGCTCGATGTGATTGTCCCTGGAGAATAATGACAATGGCTAATATCCGTAGCCCACGAACATGCTGATTCCCCGAGTGCGGGTAGCCAAATACCTGGGATTCAACACACTCTTCTGGGGAGCGGTGGTTGCGCTGACTGCCGCCTGTGTGAATTACGGCGGTCTTTTGGCTGTCCGGTTCCTGCTCGGGGTCGCAGAAGCCACTATCACACCTGCGTTCATGTTCATCACCTCGACCTGGTACACCCGGGATGAGATCCCATTTCGAACGGGGATCTGGTTCTCGGGAAACTCAGTCGGAGGTCTGATAGCTAGCCTGCTTGCTTACGGCATCGGACACATTGAGCATCCACTCCGACCGTGGATGTGGATGTTCATCATCCTGGGCGTTGCAACCTTTCTCTGGGGATTCGTCCTGCTGGCTTTCTTGCCGGATAGCATCTCCAGCGCCCGGTTTCTGACTCCTGGGGAACGAGAGTTCATGAGCAATCGTGCCGTGATTGCTGGTACAGGTCGCACAGAGCATACTATCTGGAAATGGGAGCAGGTAGTCGAGTGTGTCCGGGACCCGAAGACCTGGCATCTGTTTGCCATCGCTCTCTTGACCCAGATCCCTAATGGAGGTACTCAGAATTTCGGAAACCTGGTGATCAAATCATTTGGTTTCACGTCTTTGCAATCCACGCTGATCAATATCCCGGCCAGTGTGATCAGCGCGGGAACGATCGCCGTGACAGGATGGCTGGCAAGTCGTTCCAACAAGCTGAACTGTATTCTGATCGTATGCGTGATCATCTTTCCCATTATTGGAAGCGCGATCATCTACGCTCGCGCACACCACGTTCCCTTGGGCGCGCAACTGTTCGGGTACTTTCTTCTCTCGACGGGTCCTGGGGCATTGCCACTGGTGATGTCCCTGTTGCAGAGCAACTATCGGGGTGTCACCAAGAAGATGACGGTGACAGCTATGATGTTTGTCGCATACTGTGCCGGTAATATTGCCGGACCGCAGCTGTTCAGGACCAGTGAGGCACCAACGTACCCAACATCCTTCCGCGCGATTTTGATCTGTTATATCATTGCTGTGGGGCTAGCCATCTCGTTGCGCTTCTATCTGCAGTGGCTGAATGCGAAGCGAGACCGGGACGAGGGAGTCCAAGGCAGTGCAAGTTTAGCTGGTGCAGTGGGGGGGAAGGTAGTCGGCGAGCAGCGCGATGGGACGGACGTTTCGGTGCTCGTACGATCTGTGGAACTGAACCCAGCGGACTATGAGGACGTGACAGACTGGAACACGGTCGGGTTTCGCTATCGTCTGTGACTTGTCGTAAATTTCCCAACGAAAGCGTCAACGAAAGCGTCAAGCCAATCAACAAGGGTCTTTGAGCGAATTATGCCCGTGGAACAAGATAGGAGCAATCATATAGCTTGGCTTGCAAGCCTACCATACAGCAACTGAGCCGTAGTGATCGCATTGGTACCAGTGCATCTTTTTTTAGTAAAGCTCAAGCACGAGCAGAAAGACAACATTTCCCACCAGTAGTCGCGAAGAGGAGACTGGAAACAAGAACAAAATTCGAGTTGTGGAGAAGGAGAGACAAATCAGGAAACATGATGGTGGAATGATCATGGATAATGGATGCTGCGGGCAGTACGGAGTAACCGGGGCGTTTGTCACGTTTGTTTACCAACCAGTCTATCCAACACAATCACTGTCACTATCATTATCACTATTCCAACACCCAACACTTACCTTGCCAACTAACTACTACTTGCAACGTCATTACAAAATTCTAAGCTCGTGTACTTCATACAAGTGACAATGTCTACTGCACTACCTGTTGATAACCTGCCACCATCACTTGCTGCTATCATCTCTGCGTCTCTCCAGAGCTATATTTACTCTACAGAGTTAAGTTGCGATACGCCATCCTTGTCGCTCGCCATAGCATTCTGGGTAACGAGTAGCTAATAGATGATCCAGAATCGTGCACAGAGCTCAAATGCTACCAAAAGCCGATGACGATAGCAGAAGTGTCACCAATGATGGCAGTTATTATTTAGTGATTGATCGGATTCCGACGGGACCCCGAGAGGGGATCGGCAGGGGTGATTGAAACTCATGCGGAGAATGACCTGATAACCACTTCGCTTCTCCTCTCAAGCGACCAACGAACGTGGATTAAACAATACAAGTCACACAACAATGCATCTGGCAGTTTCTGCACAGGGCTTGGGTTCATTTTAGTGGTCGACGCTGGCCTTCCGCGGAAACACAGCGGATGTAACCTTCATCTAAGTGTTTCGAGACATTGCCGCAGACGGACTGATCGTCGCTCATTCGAGCTTGACCCTGGCAGAGTACGTCCTGTGGCTTGACACCAGCTGTACAGAATATATTATCATGGATGGTGCCAAGCTCCGTCAAGCAACACTGCTTGCACCATTCAGCCTTCCCCGCCCGCCTTCGGGACTATTTATTCAAGGTCGCCCAGAATGTCGCACAAGAACCTCTCATCACAAGTTTGCAACTATTCTTTGACCCAGCTTGCTACGATGAAGTTTATCGCCACTTCTTGGCTACTGTCCACCTTGTTGGTGGGCGTAGCGCAGGCCGTTCCCCATGTACAGCGAGACACAGTATCCAAGGTCGTCAAGAGGGGGATTGAGTACACTGTCTACCATCATGCAGCCACTGGAGCGAATCTGGAGATAGTGAAGAACTCCGGAATCTGTGAGACCACACCCGGGGTCAACCAGTATTCTGGCTACCTCTCGGTAGGAGAGGACATGAACATGTTCTTTTGGTAGGAGACGCAATCTGCGTCTGGGTTCTAGCTAAGCTAACGGATCGCCTTAGGTTCTTCGAAGCCCGCCACAACCCCCAGACGGCGCCTTTGACGGCTTGGTTCAATGGTGGGCCTGGTTGCTCGTCTATGATCGGGTTGTTCCAGGAGCATGGACCGTGCCGATTTGTCGATAACGAGACGACGCCGTCCTTGAACCCTTACAGCTGGAACACCTACTCCAACATGATCTACATTGATCAACCCATCGGGGTGGGATTTTCATACGGCAACGATGCTGTGAACAGCACAGTCACGGCTGCACCATTTGTATGGAAGCTGCTGCAGGCATTTTTCGCCCATTTTCCTGAATATGAGAGCCGCGAGTTCAATTTGTTCACTGAGGTATGTTGACAAGCTAATTGGCTTCGCGACTTATTCAGAAGTCTGATAACCATGCAGTCATACGGTGGACACTACGGTCCTGAATTCGCTCACTACATTCAACAGCAGAATGCTGGGATCAAGACGGGCGCTGTTACTGGTGAGACTATTAACATCGGATCTCTCGGCATCAATAATGGCTGGTTCGACTCCACGATCCAAGAGAAGGCTTACATCACCTATGCCTTGCAAAACCCCTACCGTCCCTTGATTAATGCCTCTGCCGGGGCCAAGTACTACAAGGACTACCAGGAGTACTGCGTTCCAGCCATCCAAAAATGCACAACTCTGGGGACAAACGCTGCGTGCATCAAGGCTGGCAACATCTGTGGTGACCTGATCGACGACCCGATCATGGAAAGTGGCGATTGGGATGTCTACGATGTGCGTGAGCCTTCGAATGACCCGTATCCTCCCGAGACCTACTATTATTACCTGAACGATGCGGCCGTGCAGCGCGCGATCGGAGCCCGTCAGAACTACTCCGAATGTCCTGATGCTCCGTATTACAAGTTTTCTGCCACCGGTGATGGTATGTCGAGACAATCTTCATTCTTCCAACATGCACTGATGATGGTTCACTAGGCACGCGATCTTTCCTCGCCACCCTCTCCGACGTGGTGCAGACTGGCATCAATGTTCTGCTCTGGGCCGGTGATGCGGACTGGATCTGTAACTGGATCGGCGGATTCGGTGTAGCCAACGCGGTAGAGTTTGCCGGCCAGACGGCTTTCCAGAACAAGACTCTCCAGCCATACAAGGTGAATGGGACGGAGAAAGGCACTTTCAAGACAGTCGGAAACTTTACCTTCCTCCGCGTGTATGAGGCTGGTCACGAGGTCCCCTATTACCGTAAGTCATCACCAGCCCTTCTGAGGGAGCTTCGAGTTGTTGACTTGATTTTCGCGTACAGAGCCAGAGACCGCCCTTCAGGTGTTTTCCCAAGTCATCAAGAAGGTGCCCCTTTTTTCCACTTGATAGAGCGGTGAGTTCATATGGTCGAATCTTATGCCATTGGCCAATGCAATGATCACGGTGGCGGGGCCTCGTGCGCAAGTGAACACAAATTGAATCTCCTCGATCTGCGGAGGCGGGGAGCCAAGAGATTCCGCGACGGACATCAAAATTGTGCATACTCATACTAGCCGAGCGATTTATCAACGAATACTTCCTACAATATCAATGACGAAGGAATATCCTGCGGATAATTTGCATGAAAGGTATGCCGCTTGCGCAGTCGACGGAAAATCATTGGCGCAAGGGACACAAGACCGTGTTGGAAAGAGGAGTAGACGTTCATGCGAAAAAGGCTTTGCTGCGACCGTGCTGGAGAATCATCTCAGACAGTCATTGGGCTCGCCGGACTCGATGGATGCATACTGCGTAGCGGTCAGCGACTGGTCTAGTATGTCGGCGACTGAGCTGATGGAGACGGCATATAAACCCTCGCCGCAAGGCGGTGGGCGGCAGGCGCGGGTCAGATGAGCTGGGACCAAGGTTCCAGCCCCGAAAAAGCAACGGACTGCTGCTTGCTGGTTGTTCTGTTGTTGAAAGATGGTCGCATGCCGTGACTAATCAATTGAAATAACTAGGGCTAACTATAACGAACGGAGTATAAGTATGGAGAGATGAGTGAGTCAGGGGCGGCGGAGGAGTGGTTGACTCACCGATACGGAGTAACTACGGAGTACCGTCTGCAGTAGATGTAGATACGGTCCAGTACAAAAGTTACTACTTGTAAGTATTGTACAATTCACCACTCTCCGCGTCTGAACAGAATGCGCAATTACAACCTTATCTTATCGAGTTGTTCTCCATCAGCCCATGTTTCTCTAATCGTTCAAATCCTCTGCAGTGGATAGGGGCACTAACTATAACCGGACTGACTAGTGACCCCCGTGCCAGGTGCTAAGTGGACTTCATCCAGGGTTCAGTCCATAAGTGGAGTCTATTCAATCCATTCTATTCAGCCTCGGGCTGCCGCCCCCACTTGCAGAATGAGTCAATCTTTTTGCACTGCCTGACTTGCTTACGGATCGCACGTTTCCCCCACGCTCTTTCTACCCAGACCCGTGGATACATATCTGGGGTGATCTTCCATGTTCTTGTCCTGAAAAAGTAGGCAGAACTTCCGAATAGCTTCCTTGTGCAACGAGTTGACACCATGGAAAAACCACTCCCCGTCGGCTACCGCTGGCGCTCCTCCCGCTCCTTCATCGTCTTCACCGTCACCGTCGCCTTGTTCGCCGAAACCTTTCTTTATGGCTTTCTCGTCCCCATCCTGAGCTACATGATCGAGGTGCGGCTGGGGATCGACCCGTCCGAGACCCAGCGCTACATGACCACTTTGTTGTCCATGCACGGCTTCCTGGGAATTGTGGCTGCCCCGATCATCGCCCACTTCGCCGACAAGACCCCCAACCGCAAGATCCCTCTCCTGCTGGCCCTGGGTGGCTGCTTCGTTGGAACGGGGCTAGTCGCTTCGACTCTCAATGGTGAGTTTGGTCGAGATCTTTGAACTTGCTCCATCGGACTGAGGCGGCCATGCTAACTGCTGGATAGTGGCTGCGCTTTTCGTCGGGCGCACGATGCAGGCGATCGCCGGGTGTGCTGCCTGGGTGGTGGGACACGCCATGCTGACCGATCACATCGATGCCGATAACCTGGGGAAAACATTAGGTCTCGCAATGACTTTTGTCACGGCAGGAATTATCTCGGGACCGACCGTGGCCGGAGCGATGCTGGAACTCTTCGGATACTGGGCGGCCTGGTCGGTTCCTCTGGTCGTGCTGGCCGTGGACATAGTCGCCCGGTTGATTATGCTAGAACCCGATCGATCCAGCCCTGTGCCAGCTGCGACACAGGATGAAACCACGGGTCTTCTGTCGGATGACTCCGAGGGCCAACCGACCCACGGGGACGCGGCTTCGACCAGCACCAGCACCACTCTCGCCGATGCTTCCTCCCCTCGCCACTTTTACCAGATCATGCTGAGTGACGGGCGGGTTCTGGCCGGCCTGGCGAATACCTTGTTGATGTCCTCGATCTTTTCCGGCTTCGAAGCCACGCTCCCGCTGCACCTCCGGGACGTCTTCCACTGGGGCAGCTTGCCGACCGGAATGATGTTCTTCTGTCTGCAGATCCCCTCGTTCTTCCTCTCCGCGGCCGCCGGTTGGATGCGGGATCGACAGGGACTCCGCAACCCGACGGCGCTGGGCTGGTTCACGCTGGCGCCCCTGCTGTGGTTGTTGGGCGTGCCCGGCGACGACAAATTCCCCTGGGCCAGTGCCGATACCAACGGCAAGCCGATCTTCGTCACCACCATGCTCGGCTTTGGTCTATTCTCCATGTTAGTTCGCGGCGCGGGCAGTCTGCAGGTTACTTGTGAGTGAGATTCGCTGATTCCCCTCGGGTTGTCGTTTCTCTCCCAGGGCATGTATGTGCTAACCAAGAATAGGGGTCGTGAAGGAGAAACAGACAAAAGACCCGCTTATCTTCGGACCGCATGGAGGCAGCTCGCGCGCCTTCTCCATTGTGGAAATGGCCTTTGGGACCGGCTCGATGATCGGGCCCTTGATTGCCGGGTCGCTGTCCGAGACCGTCGGCTATTATTACTCGACCACGGTGTTTGGTGAGTGTTATCCGCTCTGATGGCGCATCGGCCGACACGTACGCTAACATTTTCCTTGCCTTCAGCCATCACCTGCCTCGCGCTCTCCGTGGTGACCTACAAACTCTTTGACAGCAAAACCGCCAAACCTGCCCGACCGGCGGACTCGAACGCTTAGACGAGTTAGACCACGCTTCTGGATTGATTTTGACGACAAACATATACAATAGACGATGGAGATGGAACTAAAAGTTTGTTTTGGCTGCATGAGTACATACATGCATAATGAATTTGCCTTTTTTTCGTCGCTTATTCTCGTACAAATGTCGTCATGGTACACCGGGGGATGGTAGACGAAGTCAAATTCTATACGTCCGAGTGCAGTAAACCGAGAGTACAGTTTAGTCTGTGCGTTTCCGGAGTGGAACGTGCGTTTTCTACGTCGAGATGGCCCTGAATGCCTTTAACGGTCGCGGTGGCCCGGGCGGAGGAGGGCGGAGAGCCCTTGATACCCTTCATAACCGCATGTTGGTGGGTATTCTCCTTGAGAAGTTTTGATCAGAAGATAGGTATCCCTGGCGACAATGCGGCAAAAATTGAAATGGAATAGAACATGACCCGTCCTGGTATATAGCGAGGGTCAGGATTGCGGCATGAAGGGGAATTCGACAAAGTGTTGCAGGGTGTAACAGCCGGCTCGAGCGTTGAGACAGTGTCGGATTCCGACCGAGACAAGCAGAGCGCGGATCAGGGGAGGATGGATGTACACAGGAAATATCCTCATCACTACGATTTACGGGAGTGGTTGATCCCGGGCCTGGGTTTGCGACACCCCGGGTTTGGAGAGGCTTCAAGTCTACCGAAGAGCTCAGCAGGGTGGGCGGTGCTTCGACCTCAAAGGGGCGACTCCACTGGGAGGAGTACTGCAGCTGCAGTGCACTGCAGTGATTGTAGTAGCCCTAAAAGGGGGGAGGGGGTGGAAGTAACGATCTGACTGGATGAACACCACCGAACCAAAGATATGACGGCTCTTGAGTCGTCTGCCTGATTGTCTGTGAAGGTGGATGGAATCATCCATATTAATAGAAGTTGTCCCAGGGCAAAGTAAATTAGATCTTCTCCTACTTGAGTCTGGGCGCAAATTCAAGTGGATCTGAAGGTGGGAGAAATGCTTAAAAAAAAAAAAAAAAAAAAAGGGGGAAATCGTGAGGGGCCAAGCATCTGAAACCTCACCATTCCGCAAAGGAATGTCGCTGGGTGTTCTGCGGTGTTTCATTTTCCCCTTAGAACGGCTTTGCCAAGTCCCCTTTTTCCCAAACCTTTTCTACTCTTTACTCCGTAGTTTTCTAGAACTGCGATCCATCCATCTGTCTTCCCCTTCCCTTTTCCCCTCCTGATTTTCTTGGGCCCGTTTTGTTGGTAGACTTTCCCCCTCCTCCAGGCTCCTCCTCAAATCAATTACTCTTTCTCGCCCGTACTGTACCTCCGCGCCTACTGTTGCTACCTCGTACCTATCTATCGACACACCACCTGCAGCCCAGCTCCCAGCCCAGCCAGCTCCCAGCCAGCAACAACCAGCGATAGCTCTTGATCCAATGGTGTCGCACCACTCCCTCCTACACCTGGACTCTAAAAGGGCCCTCGCCGCGATGGCTTCCTCGCTGCATCTCTGGACCCGCAGCGACTGCGACTCGAGCGACAGTACTTGCGGGGAGAAGCCCGTCAGCAATTTCCTCAAGAGCGGTGTTCCGGGCATTGTCACTGGCGTGTAGGTGCTATCCATCCCTCTTTCTTTCTCGAAGCTTTCATCGCGAAGAGGCCCATCGATTGATGTCGACTAGGATCGTACTGGGTGCTATCGTGGTGTTCGTCGTCTTGCATTTCCGCAACAAGAAACGCGATGCGCGAGAAGATCAAGAGATTCGCAAGTGGAACGAGGTCAACGTATGACCACGCTGCCTGTCCTGCCAGTCGATCTCCCCGCGACGATGCCTCTATTCTGTCCGTGGCGGGGCATGTCTGGCTTTTCTCTTCCTCTCACTCTCACATACCACCTACATACCCATGTTGCTCTCGCTCTCTCTCTCTCTCTCTCTCTCTCTTCTCGTATTATGATTGAATTTGTCTGGCTTTAGTCGTGTTCTTTGAGCTCCGTCGCATCTCTTTGTGTTTCGTGTTATTCTACATTCAGCCACTGCATGACCGCCCGTCTCGTGGTCACAACGACGCGATATCAAACTGGTTTGGCATCTTGATCCGGGTTTATTGGTGATTTGGGGTTTCTTCCTTTTCCGGAGTTGGGTTTCTTGGTCGTGGGTCTCAGGGTGACCATTGAACATGTTCTTGGTTCCTGTTTTCGGTTGATGGTTTGGTCGTGTTGATTTTCCTGCTTCAGCATTCACGGCTGGCCGGCTAGACAGATGCGTCCGATGGTCCGCCGGCTTGTACTATATTGCGATGGGTCTGTGAAGCAATTTGTCAATTGATTGCGGGCCATAAGCTCTACGCTGTGTACATAGTTTTATTGTATATTCTATTTAACGGACATCGGGCCATCAATAATGCTGAAGAGCATACTGGTCTAGTTGACGATCATGTCTTTCCGCTGGTGGTAATCCTTATGTCCATGGCAAGATGCCTGTAGCTTTGTTGCTGGTTCCGCGTGCGGACTGCTCTGGCATGCGCGTCTTCCGGATGCGGAGACTACTTACCCCATGATTCCAGTTCCAGCACGCCGGAAATAGACGCGGTTTGGCCACCAGGAATGTTGTGCCATGCTCAGACATTCCGGTCGACCGTGAATGACAGCCCACTCGGAAGGGACCGCAGCTTGGGACTGTGCCTGCAGAGTCTGGAGATGTGGGGTACCCCATATCTTGGTCTGCGACCCCAGAGCCAAGGCCTGAACTCACACTTGACGAACACGTGACATCCTTACAACACCCCAATATCGACTGTGTGCGGGTTTGCTCCAAGGAAGAGTCCGCTAGCCTGGCATCATAGTTATATCCATGAGTCCATTGTGCAAGAAAAGAAATGGTCTGTCGGAACCCCCCGCGGATAAATTGGACCCCTCTTGCACTAGCATGCAGCCCTCCGCCGGCAGTCCTCTGATTAGTGGGATCGACACTCCCCGGCGTAGCCCGAGTCCAGTAGCTGCAGTGCAGACAGTGAAGAGCTTGCATGATCACCACCTGTAGCCCCTGCAATATCCTCCGCTTAAATAGCGACGCTCATCACCGACCCCTCCTGCCATGAGCCAGTTTCAATGGTATTACGTCGACGACTCTCACCCTCACCATGCACCCCCTCAAACTCCTCCTCCCCCTCCTCCCCCTCCTCCCCCTCTTCCCCGACCTCTCTTCCTCCCACGCAGCAGTAACCTGGAACTTCAACCCCTCCACAGTATCATGGCACACCATCCCGGCCACAAACTTCACCACCACCCTCCCCATCGGCAACGGCCGCCTCGGCGCCGCCGTCTGGGGCGGCCCGGCCATCGAGAACATCACCCTGAACGAGGACAGCCTCTGGAACGGCTCCTTCGTCGACCGCGTCAACCCGCACGCCTTCGGGGCGTTGGCGCCCGTGCGGCAACTGCTCGCGGGTGGCGAGATCACCGCCGCGGGCCAGCGCACGCTGCGCGATATGGCGGGGGTTCCGGCGTTGCCGCAGTCGTATAGTGCGTTGGGGGCGCTGCAGCTGGAATTTGGATTGCAGGGAGAGGTGGGCCATTATACGAGGGCGTTGGATTTGAGGACGGGGGTGGTTGGGGTGGCGTTTGAGGTTTCTGGGGTTGCGTTTCGGTGAGGTTGCTTCTTGTCCTGGGGATGGAGTAGGGCTAATGGGGGTAGGCGCGAGTATGTGGTCAGTTATCCCGATGATGTCCTCGCGGTCCGGCTGTCGAGTAGTCAGCCTGGGGCGTTGGATGTCGTTTGTTCGGTGGAACGCGCGGTGTTTGTGGTTGAGAGGAGTGCGAGTGTGGATGGCGATGGGGTGGGGAGGCTGGTTTTGAAGGCGAATTCGCTGGAGGAGGAGAGGGGGCCCATTCGGGTTGCTTCTGAGGCGAGGATCGTGGCGTCTGGAGGTGAGGACTACGTCCTATCTGTGGGTGGATGCTGATGCGGATACTGGTGGTTGTAGGGCAACTTGATGCCAACGGGACCTCCATTGTCGTGCAGGGCGCCTCGACGGTGGATATCTTCTTTGATGCGGAGACCTCCTACCGATACCCATCGGCGCGTCAGCGCGAGGCGGTGCTCGAGCAAAAACTGCAGAATGCGGTTACCCGAGGATTTGACACTGTCAGGCATAACGCTGTCTCCGACTACGCTGCACGGTCCACGCGCGTGGACTTGGATCTCGGGTCCTCCGGCGCAAGTGGCAATCTGCCGACGGACACTCGATTACTGAACTACCAGCACAGGCCCGACAGCGATCCGGAACTAGTGACGCTCATGTTCCACTTCGGCCGCCACTGTCTGATCGCCTCGTCGCGGCGCAGCGTCAACGCCTCCTCCTCATCGCCGAGCCTCCCCGCCAACCTGCAGGGACTGTGGAATCAAGACTACGACCCCGCGTGGGGCGGCCGCTTCACCCTCGACATCAACCTCGAAATGAACTACTGGCCGGCCCAGGTGACCAACCTAGCCGAGACCTTCACCCCCTTCCTCGATCTGATGGAGCTCATCCTCCCGCGGGGCCAGGCCGTGGCGCGCAGCATGTACCACTGCGACAACGGGGGGTACGCCCTGCACCACAACACCGACCTGTGGGGGGACGCTGCCCCCGTCGACAACGGGACCACCTGGACCATGTGGCCCATGGCCGGCGCCTGGCTGTCCGCCAACCTGATGGACCACTACCGCTTCACCCAGGACACCACCCTGCTCCGCGACCGCATCTGGCCCTTACTGCGCAGCGCCGCTCAGTTCTACGAATGCTACCTCTTCCCCTTCGAGGGCTACCTGAGCACGGGCCCCTCCATCTCCCCGGAAGCAGCCTTCCTCGTCCCCGACAATATGTCGGTCGCCGGCAGCGCCGCGGGCATCGACATCGCCCCAACAATGGACAACGCCCTGCTCTACGCGCTCTTCCACGCCGTCCTCGAAACCTGCACCATCCTCCAGCTGGCGTCCAGCGCATGCACTCGCGCAAACCAGACCCTCGCCCGCATCAAACCCCCCCAAATCTCCCCCGCAGGCCGCATCATGGAATGGCGCCTCGATTACGAGGAACAGGACCCCGGCCACCGCCACATGAGCCCGATCGTCGGCCTCTACCCGCTCTCCCAGCTCACGCCGCTCGTAAACCGCACGCTCGCGACGGCGGCCAAGGCATTCCTGGATTGGCGGATTGACAGCGGCAGTGGGAGTACCGGGTGGTCCCGCACGTGGACGATGAGCCTGTATGCCCGGCTGTTCGACGGCGAGGCCGTCTGGAACCATACCCAGATCTATCTGCAGACGTTCGTCAGTCCCAATCTGTGGAATACGGACTCCGGGCCCGATACGGTGTTTCAGATTGATGGCAATTGCGCGTTCACGGCGGCCATTGCGGAGATGTTGGTGCAGAGTCATGCGGGCGTGGTGCACTTGTTGCCCGCGTTGCCGGGGAAGGTGGCGACGGGGTCGGTGAGGGGGTTGGTGGCGCGTGGGGGGTTTGTGGTGGACATCGCGTGGGAGGACGGGGGTTTGAAGGAGGCGAAGATTGTTTCGAGGAGTGGAGGGCCCTTGAGGGTTAGGGTGCAGGATGGGAAGGGGTTAAGGGTTAATGGGGTGGTTTATACGGGGCCGGTGGAGACTGTCGGGGGGGGTGTCTATGTTGTTACTTCGGTGTAGGTGCAATGGGAGTTCTAGCTTGAAAAGGAGCAGCATGCTGGGCAATGGAGATGGAGATGAGTTCATGTATCTCTTACCCAGGCGCCTATATAGGCTGTACTGTGTGGTTGGTGGCAGAGAGAGATCTATTCATCCGAGTTGAGGGTATATACTACTAGTAACCACAGCACGACCAAATGCAATGCATGGAAACGAGCATCCGTGTCGAGAAGGTACACGCAGTCATCGACCTTACGTATATGCAATATACAGTACACTACAGTCCAAACCAACAATCACAACCGACTCGATTTCTGCCAGACTCGCTCAGCAGGCATATCCTCCTCCGCCGCCGCCGCCGCCGCCGCAGGCAATTCAGGCTTCGGTAGCCCCAGGGTCCGCGCGACCTCCCGCGCCGCCCAGAAGCCCGTCACAAACGCCAGGGCCAGACCCCCAGCATACCCGCGGTTACTGAACCCTCCAGCATCGACACCCGCAATCAATAAGCCGGGGATCGCGGTTCTATCCGCGCTGAGAGCACGGCCCCGCGTGTCAATCTGGACGCCTCCGTAGGTGAATGTGATTCTATAGACCATTAGCTCTAGTTTCATTATCGCATATGCGTTTGGGGTGCTTACGACGGCTGCACTTCCATCGCATAGAAAGGTCCCTCGCCCTCAGTTAGAGGCCGGGGAGCCACGCCCGCTGTGCCGGTGGGAGCATCTAGCGATACCTCCCGGTCGCCCAGTCGGATGTGACTGTCGTAATTCTCAAGCGTCTGCCTCGCTTGAATGCCATCAACGCCCCATGATTCTAGTTTCGTAATCAGGTCCGCGATGGAAGTAGCACTGACGACATTACACCCATGGTCACGGGCCTTCTGTAGGCGATCGATGTCTCCTGCGTTCGGAAACAGGGCGGAGACGCAGTGCTGGAGTCGTGTTTTGTCGCTGCAGAAGTTAATCAGATTGTATAATTCCAGACCAAGGGGCGAGCTCACTTGAAGAGGAGGAACCCCCGTCTCCCCTCTTGCTTGGCAAGGTATTGGTTGACAATCTCGTCCCCAATGCTTTCGTCGACGAACCTACGTCCGCTTTGATTGATAAGGAGACAGTACTTGCTCTCTGCTCATGTCAGCGCTCATATGAGGGATGGATGCAGTGGAACGTACGGTACTGCGCCAGCGCAAGGAAGTCTCCTGGGTCCACATCCTCAGCCCGTAAGGGCGCAGCCAGGAGATGGCCGTAGTAAGTGCCCATTCCCCGACTCGTGGCTGTCCCCGCCGCCGACGCCAGGACCAGTCCATCGCCCACGGACCCCTTATTCGATCGCACGAAGATATTGTCTCCCCCGGGACCCAGATGCGTAGACGTGAGTTGTGCAGAGCCCTGGAATCCCCCCGTCGCTAGAACAACCACCTTCGCTGTCACTTTGTAGTATTGTGCCTCCTCTTCGACGGGGCCAGTCGTGCGAATGATGGCTCCGACAATGCGGGACCCTGCGACGCCAGGGTGCTCCTGCAGGAGTTGGATCACCGAGGTGTTGGTCAGGATCTTGGACTGAGTCTGGCTGTCGCGGATGCGCTGTTGGTGGTATCGGTGGAGATGCGGGATGTTGATCGGGAATCCGATGCCTGCAGTTATAAGAGCTGTTAGGGTCCTGTTTGCATGCTGGTGGGAGGGGGAAGAGAAAGCCTGACCAATCGTCATAATCCCGTCGAACCGTTGCGATGTCGGGACTCCGTTCACGCGCATCCACTGCACTGCGCGGAGATAGTCCGCGAGCCATGCTTTTTGTAAGGCCGGATCGCCTTCGGGAACCCAGGCGCGCAGGCTCTCGTAGTTGCGTGGTCCCCAGCTGGGGCACGGTTGTTAGTGCTCGCGAGCGGGACTCTTCTGATAAAGGTAGATGCGCTCACAACATGCCGGCGGAGTAGTTGGAGGATCCTCCGACAGTGGCCTGCTTCTCGACTACCAGCACTCGAGCGCCGGCGGAGGCGGCGAAGGCAGCGCAGGCCAGCCCAGACATTCCTGCTCCGCATACCAGTGCGTCCACCTCGATTGACTTCATTGTGCTTTGGTGGGATGTGTGTTGTAATCTTCTGTGGAATGTAAGGTAAGAAGTGGTGGAAAGAGAACTAATAAATATGTCCCGGTTGTATAGAACCTCCGGCGACTAAAAGAAGGGACCGGTCCCGTGCCCGCCCGGTCGCTCACTTGAGAATATCGCCGGCAGTTCTTCCTCAAGTTCCCCACATCTTCCCCTCATCGTCACCCTAGGCGCCACCAGACATTTCACTTCGCTTGTCAATTTTAAGACCCGGTCTATGCGGGTCGTTGTACCTGTCTTTCATCTGATTCTCTTTCAGGATGGCGCCCACCAACGCCAACGAAGGCCCAACCGCCCGGCAATCTACCCGGCCCGTGGCGCCATCGGCGTGCGAGGCATGCAGGAAACTAAAGGTCGGTCTCATCAAACCAACCCTGGAACACTTGATCTAATGAAATAATGAGTCAGATGCGGTGCACTCGGAACAATGCCGTCGACAACACACCGTGCGATCGCTGCATGCGCAACCATCGGCTCTGCCGGATTCCTCCAGCGCGGCCTCTGGGACGCAGACCCGGGGCGGTGGGCCGCTTTAAAGGCATCGAGAAAGCATACCGGAAAATCCAGGCAGAACTCAGGAAGGGACCGGCCTCGATGCCTAAGGCTGCCACGCCAATCAGTAGCCAGTTATCGAGCCCCAGCGTATGCGAACCGGATGATGGACCCATCTCGGCCAGTCCCTTGAATCATCCCTCCCATCTTCCCTCGGAGGGGCTCCCGGATGGCCCCTCCCAGCCCATCAGCAATCCCCTTGCTTTGCTAGCGGACGCATCTGAAGCCGTGCATGCGAATGCCTCTCAAGCATCAAAGGACAATACCGACGAAGGAAGGGTGAGAGATCTACTATCCCGGCCAGGATCTGTCTCGTTGGGCCTTCAGCTCAGTCGAGAGAGTCTAGAGACTGGTCTGAACATCCTCTGTGCTTCCTCGTTCAGGCCTGGGCGAAGCTCAGACTACTTCAAACCGCCAGATCCCAGCGCTTTTCGCGACATTGGACCTGATCTTGATCCGGTAGATCTAGGATTGGTGACCATGGAAGAAGCCCACTTTCTCTTCCCGATGTCTGTGCTCACCGCACATTCACTGCGATCCGAGGCTGACACGATATAGTTACTTTGCTCGACTGCACCCTGTCAACGGCATCTTGGATCCCTTACTGCATACCCCGGAATATGTCCGGTCGCGGTCCGCTCTCCTTTTCACCTGGATCTTGGCTCTTACCGCGCAGTTCGCGAGCACTCAGTCTTCATTGGCAAAGCGACTTCAGTTGCATGGTGAGAAGCTTTCCCGACATGTGCACACCTGTGGGTTGAAATCGGTGGAGATCGTCCAAGGGTATTACATTTCCTTACTTTCCGCAACCCCAGCGAAGACATTAGCCGAGGAGAGGACTTGGCTCTACACCATGTATGCATTTGGGACCGCTGCTGAACTCGGGTTGGATCAACACTCGAAGCCGCGCGCAAGGGTCTTCGTAATCTCCGGTGAAGAACTAGCCCATGATGCTGGGGTTCACCTGGAAGAGCAAGACCTACAATGCCCACCGGGCTTTGGCAATGAACATCACGCCGAGAGCACATATTGCCAGCGGCTTACCAGAAACCGGGAACGCACTTGGTTTCGGATATTACTCTGGGAGCGAGCAAACAGCGCTGCGCGTGGCCGCATCAACCCTATTCCTGACACGAAGCTCATCGCGGGTATTGAAACCTGGTGGAAACATCCGGTAGCTGATGCAGCCGACAAGCATACGTGTGCTTTTATCCTCCTGCGCTGCCATCTGGCTTCAATCCATGCCGAATTGCAGGCACGCGCTGCCGCTCCACCGGATGATCCGCACTGGATGAAAAGACTCGTCGACGAGAGGCTAAAAAAGTGGTGCGACGAGTGGCTTCCCGTACCATACAATGCAGCCGAACCGTCCGAGCAACTTGCCTCAATATTCCTCTACTATGTGTACCTGCACAATCGACTCTGGATTCTGTCGTTTGCTCTTCAAGCCTCGGAGAACCACACCGGCAATAGACACATCGAGGCCATCCGACACGACTGTCTTCAAGGGGCGGTTCATACCTGCGAGGTCGCAGTCCGCGACTTGCAGATGGTCGGCGAGCCCCTGTATTGCATGCTCGCGCCCACGTGGGCGATGATCTCCTACGCTGCGGTCTTAGCACTGAAGCTCTTTCATCAAATACATGGTACTCAACCGGCAGGGGATATAGAGCTACTCGCCCTTTTGTCGCAGGTGGCTTTACAGCTTGAGCGTGCCGGAACCACGCCGCCCCATCGCTTTGGTATCGCGGCCTTGCTGGGAGAACACCTTCTGGGCATTCTGAGGACTAGGGCTGCATTGACAATAGGTGTTCAGCAGAGTGCGGTGGAAAATCCCTTGCCGAGGTATGATTCAGGGCATCCTGCTGCGGCACTATCGGAAGGCTCGGGTAATCTGGCTATCCATAATGCGCAGGAACCAGTCTCCGACCCCTGGTTCACAGAGGCATCAGCAGCGATGAGCTACGACTTGACTGAGGATAGTTTCGGTGATTTGTTTCGGGAGATTTTCGGTCCCGGCTTTGCGGATTCCTTTTGATCGCATTTCCTGCCGATGGGTGACAGCATGCAGCCAGCTACTGCATGAGAGAGTGCCAATCTTGCCACAATGATGCTTCGAATGAAGCTATTGCATGGTTGGCCGCAACTGAGTTTGATTAGACAGGTTTCAAGTGCGTATTTGGGATTCAAACCCCATTTATTTACTAGCACCCCAGCCAACAGGTGTTATAGGAAGCGCAGGTCGAAACCCGGGCGATCGGTGCAATTTCCGCCCTTGAAATATCAATTCAATTCAAGAGCTATTTCTATCATGAACAAGATTGACGGAAACCTCGGCTAAGAGCATAAGTTCTTTACCTGTTGCCCCTCTGGTGTCAGCACCCAATGGATGAACTCAGCTGCAAAGCCATCTTCTGTCACCCCATTCCCAGCATACTTCTGTGTCGGGTCCTCGAAACGGAGGTCAAAATCCTCCCAACGAACGATCTCCGTGGGCGCATAGTAGTGGTTGGTTCCCGGCCATGGAACCACTACTCGCCCTTCTTTGTTTTTGTCTACTGATAATTAACAACGGATACTTTCTTCGAAGGACAGAGCTATGCCTACACCATGAGCTGCATGGGTCAGACCACGACATGTCAGGCATGCAGGATTGAGCCCAGCGGACAGATTGATGCTGCGCTCCGGGCTTCACACTGACTGATCGAAGGCAGTCAGTCTGTAGTTGTGTCAGGATCCGGATGATGTATTCTGACGTCCGTTCAATTCCTGGGATGACAAAGCCGATAACAGGGCAATGAGGTGGATGGAAAACTGCAGTGCTTACGAATCAGCTAAGGATGGGCCGTCTGCAGGAAGTGGGGAATATGAGGCCTAACGAACCAAAGAAATTGGGGAATCCAGCCACCATGCTTGCCATGTAGCTCTCGCAATCACTTTGCGGACCCCAGCAACCGTTCAAACTTATTCCATCCTGTCCGTTTACTGGAAAGCGAGGGGCGTAGGGCTCAAAACCCGTGGCGCAAACGACAACGTCGCAATCGTACTCCTCTCCGGAACACGTCCGCACGCCAGTGTCGGTCAGGCTGGTGACATGGTCCTGAACTAGATGCACATGAGGTTGCTGCATGGCCTCGATGTACGAATCGCCGATTGTCCATCGCCGACACGCTGGGGCGAAGTCGGGCCGAAGCATTTTTCGGAGGTTCGGATCTTGGATTCTGTGATCGTAGTAGGATTCCACCCTTGCTCGCATTTTGTGATGCGCTGAGGTATTCTTCCAAAGCACGCGAAAGCCAGATGCGATCCGCCGCTCAAGCTGGATGCGATTCTTGTGGTACACGTCGGGGTCGTTCATAAATTCAAGCTTCTCTTCCTCGGTGACTGGAATTATCGTTGAGACGGGTTTCGTTCTTCGAAGCAGTCTTTACATACACTTTTTGTTGTCGTCAAACAGAGCAGGATCAGCCCATGCTTGGCTTCGACAGAAGTTGAATAGCTCTGCAGCTTCTGCGCCATTTGATCAACGATTGCATAGCAATGTCTATGTTCTGGGAAGGACTCACCATACTGCAGGGCACCGACGCATTGCATTCCATTGGAGCCGTTATCTAGAACAGCGACTCGTTTGCCCGTCACTACCAGGCCCTCTGGCCAGCTTGCTGTATGGCAAATTGTGCCGCGAATCCAGCCCTCCCGTCAAAGTCGGGGACTCTGTAATTGTTCAGCCGCCCAACTGCATCGAGTAAGACATCCGCCTCGACGACGGTCTCTTGCTGAGTAGTCTCATGCTTGAACGTGGCGATCCAGAACGAGTTTCTCTCATCCCATGTTGCAGATACGCATCATTGTTGATGGCAAATATACTTCGCTAGCCCATGGTCGGCAATCACCGAGTCTAAATAGGCGCGTACCTCGAGCGCGGAGGCATACAACGTAGACCAGCGGGGATCGGGCGCCCAGCTATACTGATACCCATGGGATGGAACATCACACGCGCATCTACAGCAAGAGTTAGTGTGGTGTCGCGACCGCTGGGATGGGTCAAAGTGTTCGCATGCAAGGTGAACCGTACCCTGGGTACCGATTCTCGAACCAAGTGCCGCCGGCGCCTTCATTTCTGTCGTAGATCTTAAGATCTATATTCCTCATTCGTGAGGTGAGATCGTGCGCTATTTGGGTTCCGGATATTCTGTTACATGGAGTCAACGAAAGATCTCAAATGCGAAATACCCAGGACAGGATGAAACCCACCCAGCGCCAATGACAACTACCCTCAATCGACGGGGCATGAACGCCGTTGGACTTACAGCCCCATATGTCATTTTCAAGAGAGTCGTATCAGCATTCACTTTCTAGCAAGGTCGTGATTGCTACTATGTTGTTGAGTTGAGAGAGATATCCGGCAATGCAGTTATCTGAGCTCGAACAAGCACTAGATTATGTGATGAACTCAAATTTGACTGTATCCACAGTGGATGATCTCATGAATCCCTTATTCTGCTATGCTTACCTGTGTCAACAAGGCGATGTTTGTGGTCGAATGTCAACATCTGGAACGGCCGAAAGTCTAAGGTAAGTGCGATGATAGACTTTATTACTTCATCACTTGTGTTTGTTTGCACTTGTTCCCTGCTCCAAGTTAAGAGAACCCAGTGCCTTGATCATGCCTGGCAATAGTTCTTCCATGTCAGTGCCACAAAAGACTTGCTGATTTTCTGGCTGAAGCAAGGCGGGCAGCAGCCTTCTACCACCTGCCACACAGGCTCTTTTGCTGGAGTCAATCACAGGTTGTTCAACACGGGACGAAAAGCGTAAGAGGATGTTGCTGTTACTTCAGCACGACGGAGCCTAGATCCTGCCTTCCTCTGCATACAGCCAGTTTCACGGTGACAGCTGCCTTCGAGCATTCTTCAATTCCTGAATGCAAACACCATCTTTCCATCCAGGCTCGTAGATCACTTGGTCAGAGCCCCACAATTATCTTTACCTCATCGAGAACTACCGCGAGTGTCGTCAAGACGCCTCGCCCGCCCACTGGTGCGCGCCTTCCACGGTGGATGTTCAAGCAAGCACGATGCCAGAGCGATAATATCCTGACTAATGGTCTACCCAGCAGTGTTGTCGATCTTCGCTTGCCATGTATCATTCGTATACTACATCCAAGTGACGTAAGAGTGAATGTGGTCCTGTGCTTGCCAGGTTGATGGCTCAGATACCTGGATGATGTGAATGAATCCGGACATTCAAAAGGCCTGGATGTACCTCCGGACTTTTGCCCCCCGTCTGGCTTGAACTCTCGATTCCTTGCATGTAGTGCTATCCTACATAAGCAGTCTTGTCCCTGCATGGTCTGGTGCTTTATTACGGCTATGCGATCGCATTCCCATCGCTTGTTCTGTTCCTCCTGTTCTGTTCCTCCAGTGGCGAAGATGCGCAGCACCGGAGCTGCTTGCCTCTGATACCACAAGTCGGCAAATCACTGTTCTGCTCTCTGATCTACCCAGAAACCTCACTGTCTAGGCGAAAGGTGACTCTAGTTCAGGTTGCGGAAGGAGCCAGTCCCAAGCATGAAGCTGATAAGGTGAAGGGGGCTGCCGAGGGAGGGGAGGGGGAACAGATATTGCGCGAGACTACAAATTCCGATGCTACGACAAAGTCCCCCGCCCAGAAGGGCAGCAACAGTCGATCTTTGCCCTAATCCAGAAATTATAATCTTCCTTTCAGTCGTCTGAGTGGATGCGACCCTGGCAAATCCGCGATGCAGGAGAAGAGCATGGGCGGGACCCCAATCACCAGCCTATACAAGCCCTGACTTCACCCTCCTCGATCCCCCTTTTATGGCTCCCAAGCTTTCTCTGTCTCAGTTCCCTCGCATCGAATCGACAGCTGGTTGGCACGATGCTCCGACCGGCTGATCCAGCGTTCATTGCGATGTTTGAATCTGACCCAGTCAGGATCATCGGCTGCTCCGAATCAAGCTACGGAATGAGTAGCGAAGTCCGATGAGTTGGGAAAATACCGATCGGTTGAGATATCGACCGCAATCGTGCCCCTGGTCGTGATAGTGGAAGCACAAATGGGGATTTTTTTTGACCCATCTCTCCACTCTTGAAGAAATTTACAGTGGAACGCGATCAACCTACGAACGGCGATCCGCATGCTAAGCACTACTGACAGAAAAGCTTTGCGAAGGCACGACGCTGACGGCAACAAAAAAAATGACAGTTATGACATGAATGATGAAAGCAGGCATTTGATGTATCTGGTGGCAAATGGAGAGATATTTTACGAAAGGATTGCCAGAAACAAAGGCCGGGAAATTGTGCAGGGAAATGCATAATCGGAAGCACACCGGTATAAATTGATTGATGCCTGCGATCTGAGCTCGGGTTTACCCCCCGTGGAAAACACTGCATAAGCGAAGTCTTTAGCAGTAATTAGGAGCGAGCTTAGCGTGTTCTACGAGTGGATTCCCTGAAGGCGAAGGAGAACCAAGCATTTGTTTTCCGACGCCACCCACGCACACGCACCCACCCACAGCCACTCACCACTCATCGCTCCCCCTTCGTCACAACCACTTGGGAAAAAACAGCTTTGGTGGACATAGACCTGGTAATGTTCCTGAATATCGTGCCTCTTGACAGAAATCAGTCTCCATCCATGGATTGACAGACAACGGCTTGTTTATCCCCTGATAGCAAAAGCCGGATAGACCGGATCCTGGACCTCTCAAAATCTGCACGTCCAATAACAGACCCTCGATCGCATGCTGGCTGGAACCACTCCGACGTCATTGGAGACCACCGATGGAGTCGCGATTCAGGGCACAAGCCATTCACAGCCCCAGGAACTCCCGAGATTCTGTTTTCCGAGGGGCCGCCGAAGAAGCCAACAGACCCACTGGACAATGGGACAATTACGCCAGCACAGGCCCTAACTCCTCTCCGCCTCGACGATCTCTCGCATCCTATCTCCCAATCCCAGTCCATCCACCCACACACATGGCGTCATGGAACAATGGCTTGCGACCGGTGGATATCATGTTTTGGCGGGCTCTCCCCTTCGCCGCGAGTCTGCTATAGGCTTCGTTGTTGCTTAACTTCTCTTCCCCCCCTTTTTTTCTACTCTTCTCCCATGTCAGTACACCCTCAACATACCAATTTATTCTCCATCATTCGCAGGGAGACTGGAATCTCTCCCCATCGACGTGGATCACATCCTGAAAATTGGTCAACATGAGTGACGCAGACGCCGGACGCGACTCTGAACGCGACTCCGGACGTCCCCGGGCCAGGGTAAGTGCCTCCAAACAACTCGCTGCCAATAGAAAGTGAAGCTGATCTCGAATTTTCTGCGCAATAACAGTCCGATGTAGACCGAGTCCGCGAGGAAGCGACCGGGGCATCATCGCCTCCTATTTCGCCGGTCGGCCGCGGTCGTCGTGGCACGATGGACTCGGATATTATCTCTCCCACTCGCCGCGTCTCCGGTCGTGACGGCGAGCTGGGATCTGGCGTGCGTCGTCGCAGCTCGGCCGCCTCTCGCCGGAGCGGTCGCAGCGGTGGCATTCCCAGTCTGGCTCCGCGGACGACACTGGCTCAGCGGACGCAGGGCAAGTTCACCGTGGCCGGGCCGGACGACACGCCGCAGCTGCGCCTGGCGCACGAGCCCTTTGTGCAGCCGGGCTACGGTGACCTAAATCCTGCCTACGAGCAGCCCGTGAATGCGCGACCAGTCTGGGGTCTAGCCAAACCCTTGCCTCGCGTGGTGCGGTCGGGCATGGTGCCCACCAAAGAGGAGCTGCTCGAAGCCCGCCAGAACGCCCAATTGCCGGCGGAGAACTCTCAAAAGTATGGACTGGACGTCGACCCAAACGATCTGGAGCAGGGCCAGATCGAAAAGACCACTGACCCGCGCCTCATGGCAGCCCAGGTCGAAGACGCGCGTCTGCAGCGCGAGGCCAACTTCATGAACAAACTTTTGTCGGGCGACACCACCTCCATCCGCGGCTCCCGCATGTCCCGCACCTCGTCCACCCGTCGTCGTCGGTCCTCCGCCGTGGGGTGGGAGGAGCAGCTGTCGACGGTGGCCGAGGGCGAGACGCCGGCCACCAGCATCCACGGGGGCGACGAGGAGGAGACCGACTCAGCAGCAGCTCCGCCGCACCGCGGGAGCAACGACCATCGCCCGAGCGATGTTCCACTGCAGCCAGTCCCGGAGGAGCCGGAATGGCACGGCGACGACGACACAGCCGGGGGGTCTCCGAATCTCGACGAGGAGCTGAAGGAAGGGCTGGACGACCTGTCCGCCCTGGAGGACCCAGCTCTGCCGGAGGATCTTCACCCGCTGGTGCAGGAGTTGGTCGAGGAAGAAGTCCACAACAACCACACGACCTGGTCGGTGATCCGGACGCACCACCGCGAAGCGCTGGCGGAGGCGCTGGGCGTTTTCGTGCAGCTGTTCGTCGGCTTTTGTGCTGACTTGGCTGTCACCTGCGCTGACGTGGGAAACCCAAACACGACGGACTGGGCCTGGGGCTTTGCGACCATGATGGCCATCTACGTGTCCGGTGGTATTTCCGGTGCGCACTTCAACCCGGCCATCACCATCATGCTGTGGTTCTACCGCGGATTTCCCAAGCGCCTGATGCCCGAGTACTTCGCCGCGCAATTCCTGGCGGCCTTCATCGCCGCGTTCTGCGCCTACGGTGTCTACTACGAGTCGATCCACGAGTACCTGGCCTCGAACGCCACCTCCGGCGTCGTCAACAGTTTCGTCACGAACCAGCGATACAGCTGGATTGGCGGGGCGACAGCCTTCTTCAACGAGTTCATGGGTACTATGATCCTGGTAATTGTCGTGCTCGCGCTGGGTGACGACCAGAACGCGCCCCCGGGTGCCGGTATGAACTCGCTGATCGTGGGTCTGATGATCATGAACCTGAGTGTGGCGTTCGCCTACCAGACGGGCGCGGCCTTCAACCCGAGCCGTGACTTCGGACCCCGCCTTGCGCTGCTGGCCCTGGGCTACGGCAGCGACCTGTTCACCAACGCGTACTGGTTCTACGGGCCCTGGGTGGGCGCGATCAGCGGGGCAATGATGGGTGGCTTCCTGTACGACTTCTTCATCTTCACGGGTGGCGAATCGCCGGTCAACTACCCATGGGAGCGGACCGAGCGGGCGATGCGCAAGAGCAAGATGAAGTGGAAGCGGCGGTTGCACCTTTCCAAGGAGGAGACTGAGAAGAGCTGAGTTCTGCTTATGAATCGCAGACGTCTGCATTCGTGGCTTATGTCTATAGACGAGTTGTGGGATGTTGTAGATATTGTATAGCGCTGTGTTGATGCGTTTGTATGTTTGTGGGTGCACAGCACCATGATCGGTTGTTCATTTAGCCTGATTACATCTTAGACTGGATCTCGATGCGCCATGCCCTGGGATCGTGGCTTAGTGGGTCTGTTATAGCATTATTTCATCTGTTATGCTTCAGCTTAATGCCGGTCCGAGAGCATAGCCTCGCCAAACACACGGTGCTCATGTTGCTTCGTCCGGGTCCAAACTCAGTGGTGATTTCCGCAAATAACGTCCAAGCCACCAAAGTATCATTCAAGGTATGGCACTCGTACCAAGAATCCGCTGGGTTAAGCAATGCCATTGTGGAGTTGCATACCTGCTTCCCGCCGGCCTTAAAGTGTGGCAACCCTAAGTCGGATGATTCCCATCCTACCATTTCCAACACACGACATATTCAGCAACAGACGGAAACACCTCGTGGCAGTCTGTTCCCCGACCCAGCACGGTAGCTTAACAGAGTTGCTAACGGTTTCAATTTGCGCAGGAAAACCGGGTTGGCAGCGCCGCAGGGTTCGGACAATGAAGTCACGGGACCCACATCGACCCCGAGGCAGGCCGTGACGTCACGCCTCCATTTTCTGCTATCTCCTAACCATCCGGTCAACCCTCCCCTGTACCATCATCATCATTCATCATGACGCTGTTTCGAGTGCGGCCAGCAAGATTGTGGTGCTTGGCGGGGTCTCGGTGCTCCGGAGGAGGAGGGAGGGCGATATGCACGAACTTCAGCCTGATCAACATCGTCTCCGGGTAAATTCGCTCCTACACAACCACCAACCACCAACCACCACAGCCATCACCGGCAATCATATACCCGAATCGTACCAACAACAATACCAACAATACCAAGACCACATGGAAAGCGACGAGCCACATCTCTCTCCGCTGCGACGGTTCACCTCGGCCGTGCGCTGGAGTTGGTACGCCATCTCGCTCAGCTGGGGCGGGATCGCCGTCTTGCTGCACCAGACACCGCACCAATTCACAGGCCTCGTTACCATCGGCACGATCGTCTTCATCGCCAACCTAGTCATCTATGCCGTTATCACGGGGGCCTTCATCTTCGAGGCGCTCAGCCCCAGCCCGACCGGCAAGGTCGCCTCCGGGCCCCCGGACTTCCGGACGCGCTGGCTGCACATCCAGCAACTGACGGACCTGTACTTCATCCCGATCTCGCTGCTGGCCTTCGCGGCAATTCTCTTTGGGGTGTCCTACTACGGGACGTCGCACTGCGGCCGGTGGCTGATCCTGACGCTCCACGCGCTGTTCTGGGTGTACACGGCCGTCTCGCTGATCCTGTGCATCGTGCTCTCGTGGATCATCCCGCACACGCACACCACCCCGGAGAAGCACTACCCCATCGTGCAGATCCTGCCTTTCTTCCCGCCGATGCTCAGCGGCACCATGGCGGGCATCCTCGCGCCGAACCAGCCCCCTAACCTCGCCATACCGATGCTGGTGGGCGGCACGACGATGCAAGGCCTGGGCATCCTGATGTTCTTCGTGGTCCTCGCGCAGACGGCGCACACGCTCACCCGCAGCGGCCTGCCAGAAGGTAGATTCCGGCCGGAGATGTTCATCGCCGTCGGCCCGCCGTGCTTCACCATCATCGCGTGGTACGGCATGGCCTCCGCGGCCATCGAGAAGCTGCCGGATTATTTTCTGAGTAAGGCCAGTAGCGTGCACACCGCCGACGTCCTGTATATCCTGGCCGTGGTCGCCGGGGTCAGTCTGTGGGTGCTGGCGTTCGTGCAGTTCTGGCTGGCCGTGCTGAGTATGGTGGAGGCGATGGTGCGCGGGCTGATTGCGTATGAGTTGAACTGGTGGTGCATGGTCTTTCCGTTGACGGGGTTTGTGCTGTGTACGTGTAATCTGGGCCAGGCCTTGAATTCTCCGGCAATTCTCTGGGTGGGCTCCGCCATGACGATCGGGCAGGTCGCGCTGTGGTTGGTGATTTGTGGGTGTCAGATTGTCGTCTGGGTGCGACGAGGGTGGTGATTTTGCTTTTTTTTTTTTCTTTCGGTCTGATACTTCGGGGATAAAGCTGCTGTGGTTGGGTTCATAAACCCGTGTTCTCTTGTTGGTTTTATCGAGGTTTGTCATATATCTGCATTATGCTTCTGCATTAGACTGAGCTTGGAGAGTTCGTTAATAGTATCGTGCCAGATCTGCATAGCATACACTCTAGGCATAACTGAATGAAAATACCACTCAGAGCAAGGAATGAGTAGCAGGTGTGTAGCGGGCTGAATTTAGGGATGGTCTCATCCTAAACTATCCCGGGGTGGGCTTCTCTCCGGTGCCCACCTTCTTCCCCGGATCGTCCCAAGATTGATGAGTCCAGGTGGCCGATTTTAACCCAAAGCGGTAGCCCAAGCTCAGGCCATCGTTCTCGACAAATATGGGTCACACATAGATAGGTTGCCTCCATCGATGTCTGAAAAGCGTTGACATTGGCGGGGATGGGAACTTGGGTGTCCACAAGGGGTAGGGGGGCTTGAATACTTGGATTAGGGCTGATGGGTGAGTCCAGGTGGCTGGGGTTTTAGGTGATAACGGATCTTTACAACAGTAACTAGCAGGTGGTCCAATATCTTCTAACTCCATGGCTAACATGATGGACTTTGCTCTCTGCATCCAGTAAGTGGATATGTAACCACATCATTAACACACCCAGTAGCAGTCGTTCTCCATCATCCATACTTCAAGATTGGTTGATCCAAATTAGTTGACCGCAACATATCATTCGAGTGTAGTGAGTACAATGTATGCCAACAGACATTGAGAATGATATTAGTGTATCAGCTGATTCTCTGCTTACGTGGCTGTCTCCACTGACCATTGTGGAACCAATATGCCGTTCTTATAATTATCATAAGCTCTTTCTGCGTGATGGGTTCTGTTCAGTTATGTTTACTTTTTCACGGGGTCGAAGAGTATCTAGTAGGCACACACCAAGCCCCTTTGAGATCAAATCATACAGCCGAGCCCGTACGCCCCTGTCCTGATTCCAAATCGCCTTGCTCTTCCTCTCCCCACTTTACGGAGTAAGCAAACCCGTCAAGTTTCTCTGGAAGGTAACGAAGGTAACCGCGAATTGGATTCTCAGGGACAGACAAGGTGTCACTGACCCAGCCGCCCCCTCATGTGGGCAGGGGCTTGTCGAGAATGCGGCTCAGCGCGTTGCTTACTACGGAGCACAGACAGCCACGAGCTCCTCCTGCCTGTTCTTCTGTTACGGACTGGACAGGACGAGCCGTGTGACAGTTAACGCAAATGCGGCCGTGCATATGTCCCATGCGCACCTAGTGCACAAGTGGCTAGCACCTGACTCACTTGCTGATGGCAACGAACATACCCCTGTTCATCCTTCAGTGCAGGTCGTGCTAACAAGGTGGTGGATTTATCTCCTGCATAGTCACTTTCTAGCCCTAGGTTGGTTAGTATATTAGCGCCGCCCTACCCCACCAGCTTGACAGGCGATCTGAAGTTGGCGTGCCGTGGATATATTGCTACCCTGTGCCACTTGTCCGGTTGCTATTACATCTTCTCTTTGAGCCCCCGTTGAGGGTCTTCTCTCCCTCCTATCGAGAACACATCCCCACAGAATGTGTCTGCCCGGTATCTGCGACCCCTTTGACCTCGAAGACTGCTGCGGCCTCCGGCCCTGCTGCAGATCGGTTGGACTGACAAGGTATATTTCTTACGTAGGACCTAATATACGACTGTTGTTTGATGGTGCAGACCTTAGACCCTGAACTATGTCTGTCATATATAATAGACCAGACCAAGAGACCCTCAATTCCGAAGCTTTAAGGTTATCCTACTATATCTATCAAAGTCACTTTCTGTAGTATAGTTGTAATCGATGTTGATGACTTATTAGTTGGCGTTGCTGAATCCGATGCAGTAATAAAGAAGATTCATCGGCCTCCTACGGGGTCCAGGTGCCTTCACAATCCAAGTGTGAGCTGGTAGTCATCTCTCTAGCTTCCTTACATTCCAGCTCCCTAGATTACTTCCTCCCTAAAGTTCTTCTGCAGATACCACGCATGAGATAGAATTCAATCGCCAGGTCTCACCCCCTCTACTATAGTTCTACTTCGACCTTTTCGAGACACCAACCAAATACCCAAACCTACTCAAATCCACGCCAACGACCGCTTCAATCACTTCCTACCCAGCTACAACACCGCAACCACCTCCTCCCGCAGCCCCGACGCCGTGGACCCCGTCGCCACGAGCACGCGTCTCCCCTCACCATCCTCCTGCCACTTCAACGGCCCCTCTGGCAGCACCACCGGCCTCTCCTTACCCAAAACCTCCAGCAACCCCGCATCCAGATCCGCCCGCATGCCATGCACCACCTCAAACCCCCCGCCACACTGCAGCGGAATACTCTCATGCTCCATCAGCCCCTCCAGCGCCGGCAGCACCTGGCCCTCCGTCAGAATCACCAGCTTGGCGGCGGTGACGGGGTCGACGAATTTCTTCATCACGCCCCAGATCGTGCTGAAGTAGCTGGGGGCGTTGCAGACCTGTGCCCGGTTAGATAAGCCATGAGCCCTAAGTAATCCCCCCGCCACGCTGCCGACTATGCACGACAAGCTTCAGAGTCCTACCCCCCAACTGGAACCAGGGTGAAAGGAACGTACGAATATCGTCTCAATCGTCTCGGGATAACACGTCGCCAAGATCCCGCTAATCTCCTTGGCGAAATCCCGCAGATTCCACGCCTGCTTGAGGCTGATCGCCTTCGCGTCGACGAGGTAGATGCTTTTGGTCACGGGCGTGCCCGCGGCGGCCGTGCACAGCGGGAGGATGAACCGGGTCAGCGTGTCGAAGAAGACGCAGGCACGCTGCGCCATGTCCGGTGCATTTTTGTCGGTCAGCGAGCGCGTGTGTCGCCAGTGCTGCATGGCGTCGGCGTGGAGGTGTGCCACGTCGAGGAAAAGGATGGGGTGCTGGGTGCGGGTGCGGCGCCCGGTCCAGTGCGGGTACTTTCCATCCCATCATGGTTTAGTGTGGGTTCGAATGGGCTGTGAAAAGAGGTTTGGGGTGAGGGCTGGGAGTACCAGTTTGCGCGTGGCTTCGTAGTCGTCGATCGAGATGGTGTTGTAGACCTCGACGATGGATTGGTCGGCGCGGAAGCGCGAGGCGGATTCGTATTGCTGCAGGGCGGACGGGGGGTCGTTTTTGCGGGCTTGAAGGAAGCGGCTGGTCTTGGTTAGAATATGCATTCATGATTATGATGGATTATGAATGAGATGGAAAGAGGGGAGGGGGTGTGGGGGGTGTACAGTAAGGTCAGGTCGTCGGTTAGACCGTCCACGACATCCCCCGCTTGGAGCCCCTGAGGCCGGTTCAGCAGCCCTCGTTCCGCGCACAGGGCCTTGAAGCTGGCCAGCGCCGCCGTGTCAGTTTCCGGGGGCGCGGTGTCTGGGGCGAGACTCGGCATGACGGTGGTCTGGCGTTTCTTGCTGCAAGTACGGGGGAGTGATTGATCAAAGGGGAAAGTGAAAAGTGGAATGTCAGCCAGGAGAGACAGCGCCCAACTTAACAGCTGAAGCTAGCCAGCTAGCCGCAGAAAAAGGAATGTTTGTTGGACGGGTTGAATCACCGAAGCTGCACGATTATCTCAGCCATGGCCAGGCCCACGGCGTCTATCACGGCAATTGTGAGGTAGAACTTGGACCTGGACGCACAAGGTTCACCCGCGGCATGCAGATCGTCGATCTTCGCCCGGGAGAGAGATCGCGAATCTCCTTCAGCGGATAAGTCATCCTCACTCTGAGGAAGTGTGAGTGTGAGTGTAAATGTCAACCGATCCATGACATCAACAATGGTTCATGGCAAGTGGATCCCTCCCGTGGAGCCCCTCAACATCACCGCGACGCAACCATGGTTTGTCGGCATGTCAATGCGCTTCTTTCACCCGACAATCCTCAAAAGACCCCCCCAATTAACCTTCGTCTGACCCTGTTTTCGCTGCAGATCACGATGACCCGGCTGCTCGGTACCCAGATGTGGGGACGATGTTGCATCGCGATTGAGGGTCGAGTTAGGGCTGGGGCCAGTCAGTCGATGACGGGATGGTTGAGATCGCCGATAAGAGCACTGTAAACTATAAGGCCGGGGGGGGGGGAATACTGGGGGACACCCGATTGTTGTTCGATATCATACTTCAGCATCTAATACAGATAACTAACAATGCAATGGATAGCCCCCTGCCCGGAAGAAGACCAATTCTCCGTCCTCGTGCCCCGCGACACCTCCGACCTCCACGGCTTCTGTCACGGCTACCCGTTACGCCGACACAAGTCAGAACACAAGGCCAACGAGGGCTCGCTGCAGCTGCGCGCTGACTGGGAGAAATACGTTGGACCGATCGAGCGATGGGGCTCGTGTAATCCATGGGAAGGCCACTTTGGGGCGGTCGTGCTGCCCTGCTGCCGCCCAGAGCGGATGGCCATTGTCAATTACATCTTTGAATGTAGGTTGCTGTCTGTCTCGCACAAGGGAAACGCGGCTGACCGTATAGATGCCTTCATGTACGATAACGTGGTCGAGTCGGCCGCCAAATCCACCGTGAGTACAGCTCGCTATTATCCACTGCATCCACTGACTATCCAGATCAACGCCCACGCAGACGACATCGCCCTGGACGAGACGGAATACCGCACGGTGCGCTCCGTCACCGGCACTAAACAGGTGCAATCCAAGATGCTGCTGGAGTTGTTCGCCATCGACCCGACCTGCGCCCAGGTCGTGCTCGACTCGTGGAAGACGATGATCAACACCACCGCGACCAAGGACAAGACGTGCGCATTCCGGGACTGGGAGGAGTATGTGGACTATCGCATTATCGACACGGGAGCGCCGTGAGTCCAGGACCACTCTTCCCCCCCGTCTCCTACCGTACTGTACCACTGACAGCAGCAGCTTCGTCGACATGCTCATGCGCTTCGGGATGGGGTTCGTGCTGACCCCCGAGGAGCAGAGCAGCATCGAGCCCGTGGTGCGCCCGTGCTACGCGGCGCTGGGCCTGGCGAACGACTACTTCTCCTTCGACGTGGAGTGGGAGGAGTTCCAACACGCCGAGGAGACGACCATGACCAACGCCGTCTGGCTGTGCATGCACTGGCACGGGGTCGATGTCTCCGCAGCTAAGGAAATGGTGCGCCAGGTGACGAACAATTTTGAGAGAGAGTTCCAGCAGCGTGTGGCCGAGTATGTCGCTGGCCATGGACGGGAGAACCGGAGGGGGCAGGTCTACCTGCGTGCTCTGGGGTATCAGATTCCCGGCAACGTGGCGTGGAGTCTGCGGTGTCCGCGGTATCATCCGCATCTCGTTAAGGAGGCCGGGCGGTTGCTTGAGGAGAATATGACGACTGCGCCAGATGAAGGATATGAGTCGCACGTGCAGGAGCACGCTAAGCGTCTGAGTGTCTCTGAGGAGAGCGAGTCGAGCGACTCGTCTGTTTGGTCGGGCGCAAACTCGCCGCGCTCGTCGATCTCGTCTGCTTCGGAGGAGGAGGGGGAGGTTGAGGAGGTCAAGCTGGGATCTGAGGTATTTCCAGTGCCCTAACAACCTGGTGTTGACACACTGACACCGTGCTAGCACCTTCTCAGCCCAGCCGAGTACATCGCCGCGCTGCCGTCCAAGGGCGTTCGCGAAGCCTTCATCGACGCCCTGAACGTCTGGCTCATGCTCCCCGACCGACAAGTGACGCTGCTCAAATCCATCGCCAAGACCCTCCACAATGCCTCGTTGATGTACCTCCCTCCTCTCCATCCTGTTAACCGGATACTAATTCCTTAGGCTGGACGACATCGAAGACTCCTCCCCGCTCCGCCGCGGCCAGCCCGCCACGCACACCGTGTACGGGGTCGGCCCCACCATCAACTCGGCCAACTACCTCCTCCTGCAGGCCCTGGACGAGGTGCGTGGCCTTGAAGATCCCGGCGGCCAGTGTCTGGACATCTACATCGAGGAGATGCGCAACCTGTTTAATGGGCAGAGCTACGATGTGTACTGGACGCGCGAGGCGGTCTGTCCGTCGGAGGCGGAGTACATGGAGATGATCCGACAGAGTATGTCTCCTCACCCTCTGCTGCTATATCTTCATTACCCTAGATAGGGCATTGACGAAGATCCATGAACAGAAACAGGCGGCCTCTTCCGCCTCCTCGCGCGACTGATGATCGCGACCGCACCTGCGCAGCGCAATCGGTCCGCCCCAGCCCCTTGCCCTCAGACACCTACACAGTTCGAATACTAATGAGTGAGCAGAGACATCCCCCTCCTTCCCTTGATCGACCAATTAGGCGAATACTTCCAGATCCGCGATGATTATAAGAATCTTACTGAAGAGGTACCCTCCCAAGACCCTGATTGAATAGGTGTGCGATGCTGATAGGGGACAGTATACCGAGCAAAAAGGCTTCTGCGAGGACCTCGACGAGGGAAAGTTCTCTTTCCCCCTTATCCATGCGCTGCGGGCGCAGGGACAAGAGAAGGACAATCAGCTTTGGAAGATGTTGGAGCAGGGTCGAGCAGCAGGGACGATGGACGTGGCGATGAAACGGGCGGTGTTGGACATACTACAAGAGAGTGGCAGCATGGAGTACACGCGGAAGACACTGCAAAGTATAATTGGGGAGATTCACGGGGGCATGGGGCAGGTGGAGCGGCAGACGGGCTGTGTAAATTGGGTGTTGCGGTTGTTGGTGATGCGGTTGGAGGATTGAGGACGTAATGGCTAATGTGTGATGATTATGCTGCTTGTTCGGCGTTGTGCATGTTGCTTAGATAGCGATCCTGATCCTAATCCATGGAATGCGTGGAATGCGTGGAATGCTTCTAGAAGCGTTACCCCAGGCTTGCATACCGACACTGCAACCGGCGATGACGTCGCATACCCCGTACCGCACCAGCATTCCAGTGACGTTATCCCAATGTAAGCGCATTGCATTCAGAACCAAAAGTCAGACAGAATGTCAAAGGGTATATTACAAGTCTAGTCTATGATACACTCTATAAATAGTATGATTATATACAGCCCAAAGGAAATCCCAGAAACGCCACAATGCAATGGATCATGTCATGCAGCGGTGTCACATCACGCATTATTCGCGCAGGAGAAACTGCTGCCGGAGCTGTCGTCGTGGATGGCCACGCCCGACACCCACAGACCGCAGACGCAGATCGTGGCGCCGATGAGGAACAGTCCCACGTTGGCCATGGTCAACAGCGTCTTGCGCCAGGAGGAGAAGTAGTTGCCGTAGTAGAGGTAGAGCCAGAAGACGCCGGGCAGGCCGAAGGAGAACCAACTCGCGAACAGGGCGCACTATTGTGTACAATTAGCATGTTTGACTTGAGTCAGAAGGAGACGGAATGGAACATACCACCAAGCTGACCAGGTTGCTAAACACGGGGATAGCCTCGGCGATAATCCAGGCGATGATCCAGTATCCAGCAGCCAGACCGATCCAGGCGCCGATTCCCTTGGCACTGCGCTTGTGCATGACATCCGTGCCGCGGAACAGTCGGACGTAGACGTTCTTGATGGCAACGTGGCCCAGGACCACACCCGCGACGACGATGGTCGGGATGGCGACACCGTAGGCGACCTTGCGGACAACCGGGCCGGCGGAGCCCAGGGCGGGCGACTTGACGTCCTGGCCGGCGTAGCGGTAGATGACGGCGGAGGCGACGGTGTAGAGCACGATTTCAAACGCCTGCAGCATGCACAGCGACTTGGGGAAGTCCTTGGGGTTCTTCATCTCGGCGATGAATCCGAAGAAGGCCGGGTGACCGCAGTAGGCGAAGCCGATGTTGGTGACGACGGAGAAGCCGTTCACGAAGCTCGTCTTGCGCGTCAATTGCATCGGCTCGGGGTGGGGGTGTTCGACGCCCACGCCGATCATGGTGATGAGCACCGCGGAGAAGATACTGATGAAGCCTGTGCGTTGTTAGAATGGTTGTGATGTCGATGAGGAGGCAGTGAGAACGTACAGGCAATGGCGAACCAAGAGACGTTCTTCATGGTGCGGGGCAGCGAGCAGATGAAGGAGAGAACCAGGCCGACCACGCCAAAGACCACGGAGCAGGTGCCGTGGTTGGTGAGGGTGTTCATCATGACCGTAAAGGTGACCAGGTGACTTCCGGAGGCGAACATGAAGAAGAGCAATTGGGCGACCTCGATGAAGATGCGACCGGGTTTCCCCATCAGGACCTCGCCGGCGTCGGCCATGCTGTGAATGAAGGGATATCGCGCCCGGAATTGACCGATGACATAACCGGAGTAGGTGGCCACCACGCCCAGGCCGACAATGAGGATGATCGCAGGAATGAGGCCGACAGTAGCGACAGTCGAGGGCAGAGACAGGACACCCAGCGAGACAGTCTCGGCAATCATCACTAGAGGGAGGTTAGAGGATGCGGGACGGGATAGGATGATATCACCACGATCACATACAGAAGCCAGATTGCCTATCCAGGAAGACATTATTAGTATCCACGATGGTGACCATTCGGGTCGTAGACAGTGTACGCAGTGTACGCAGTGTACTTACCACCAATCCAAGGTCTTATATTGAACCTCACCATGCTCCGCGCCAAAAGGGTCTTGCTCCTCAGCGGGAGCCTTGAGGTCGGTATCCCAGGCCTCCGGGTCCGATGGGACACCCGAGCCATACTCGATGTCCTTCACGTCCGGTGACGACATGGTAGTGGAAATTGACACCGTGGGGGGGGAAGTAAGAGGAGGGGGAGAGGAGGAGAGGAGAGGAGAGGAGGGGAGGAGGGGAGGGAGAGGAAGGGAGACAGACTGAAGAGTCAAAAAAGAAGGAAGAACAAAATCGAAAGAAGCTATGAACAGATCCTCAGAATCTGGCCTTGGGTGTTTCGTTATTATACTACAGCAAAAACCAGCCAGGTGAAGCATGGACGTCTGGGCAGGTGGTTTTTGTTAGTTAATAGTTCGGGGCGGCCAGCCAATCCCAGCCTCGGGGACTGCAATTTCTGCGGGTGTGACACAAACTTTGCTGGCGGCCGTTTGCCTCTCTCCCCGATGTCGGCCTCCTGCCCGGTCTGGTGCGACGTTTTCAATGCCTCATGGGCCAGGGCCCACTCCTCCAGGAACCGTTCTCCAGTTCTTCGGTGAAACTCAATAGCTTAGTACTGATTGACTCGTAATGTTGAATGCGCCTGTCGGGCTGTTCGTGCCATCTGGCAATGCACCTGCTGCCGCTAATGTTGCATGACGATAGTTCCAGTTTAGCCGGGGGAAGCAAATAAGCAAAATAAGGTGTCTGGGGGAATCCGGTACCATACCAGACTCTGCATGGAGGCAAAAGGCAAAAGGAAATTTCCACCACCGCATCAGGCCAGGCGGGCCTTGGTGGCAACTGGTCAGTCACCATGAGCCAGTCAGAGGACGGAATCGGGCTGTCGGTGGCGCTGCCCTACCCACTGCTCCTGAACAGGCTTAGTTTACTCGTGCCGCTTCCGAGTCGGCCGCCATGCACTAGTCCCCTTCGAGCTTGGCGGCATCGATCTCGGGGCTGGGCGGCAGTACTCCGGCTCTCCGAGGCCGGTCTCGCCCCCCCCGATCCTCTATCCCAGTCGGCCGGGGAAAGACCACCAGATGTGCTTCCTCCATACAGCATCTCGGGATCAGGAGGACGGATGCCTAGCGCTGTCTGCAGCTCATTGTCCGGTGAAAAGCTAAAACAAGCATATCGCAAGTCTCATGTAGCTTGATGGCAGGGCTGACTCCGAATGACTCATGCGGCGTGGCTCCCGTCTCCTATATCGGCCGGGCACTCTGACTCAAGCTGACAAACAGCTACTTACTCCAGACCCCAGCGCTTCAGAACTCTAGAAGGCTATGGAAGTTGACCCTATCAACGCAAATGGTTGGGTGGTGCTGTTGTAGGGTATGAGCTCTCCACCAAGTGGCTCGGTTAGCCGACGGGCAGTCTGTCTGTAACTGTAACCGTTCCCGCGGGAATCAACCCACCGCGACGGACGCCGTATGCTGTACTCTACGATTTATTTACTTTCACCAGTCACGTTCGCCTCGAAGAATCATTGATCTCATATAGATGGATGGAAGTATCTATGCAGGATGGTCCCTTGCAGCCATCTCAATATCCTTCAAAAATGTCCTCATGACTCAAGACCCCATAGGTGCTGGCCTGCAGCAACCTTGAGCTGGCGCACCGTCTCCTCCAGCTCGCCTGCGTCGAATGCTCCACACAACAAAATCTTCACCCCGCGGGTACATCCCGTGGGTAGCGACCACGTGGTGGTGCCAGTCGGCGCGTGGCAGCTCCTACATCGGAGCAACGAGGTGGTTCTTCAGCCCGAAGGCCAACCAGATCCGGATCGTCGTCAGCATCTGCCAGCCGAACCTGGGTAGGGGTGGAGCTCGATCGGCAATGACAGGCTGTGGTCTGCTTTACACTGGTTGATTCCGGGTGCTTGAGCCGATAGATAGGTGAAGACGAAGCTTGATGTTGGGTGGACCGGTCCTAGAACAACCCGGGGCCACACTTCCGCGGTATTGCAACTCTGTGCTGCACGAGAACTGGACCTGGATACAGGTGATGGTTAGTAATGTCTGGTTGACATGAACTTTGCGAGAGGATCGCCTCGATGAACTACTTTTCATGTTGACTTTTGATTTGGAGCTCTCGTCATGCAAACGGTAGCTTTTTCACAGTTACAATGTGCATCTGCTCGTGCACCGCCTTCATCATCACCCGTCAGGTTGTGTGCCATCCAGAAGCGCATACAGAAGCTGTCACGGGTACATGATGCATCCAGAGCTACAGTCCAGCACTACCATACTCACTTCAGTCAGAAGCATTATACAATCTGCGTATGCAACTCACCCCGAGGGCAGCAACCGCACCAGCCAGAAGTATTATACAACTTGCTATCACAGCTGACCCAGACCTCCCATCCATCTCACCGTCCACCGACCTACTGCTCTAACTGACGATGGATCGAATCCCGCACCAATTCCTGCAACGACTGCGTCGCCACGATCCCGATGTCCTCATTATCCCGGCGCTCGTACAGGGTGCCGCCCTCGGCCCAGATGCGCCGCAGGGTAAAGGTCGTCGCATGGGGGGCGCTCTGCTCCCATGCCTGGGTTTCGAGTTGTCGCAGCTCGTCCAGCGAAGTATGCTCGACCTCCCACTTTTGGCCGGTCTGGAACTCGAACTCGCGGAGAATTTCGTGCGGCGTGGTGGTGAAGGAGTTGAGCTTGAGGGCGCGGTACCGCGCCTGGTCCCAGTGGGTGAGCGCGTGGGCAACGAAGCGGCCGACACTGTGCGCGTTAGCATGACTTCACCTCCAAGCACTGTCCCTGCAAAGAAAAAGGGGACTCACTCAACCCGCGCACTGAAACTCACCCTCCCCTCCCCATCACCGACCACCACCGCCTTCCGGGCCTTCACGTCCCACGAGCCCGCCTTGGCCGCCTTCTCCGACCCCGCGGCGGCCAGCCAGAACGGATAATCGGGGTACGGGCCCGTGACGATGTAGGCGTACTCGAGATGGTCGCGCAGCTGGGCCAGCACCGCCCGCACCTTCAGTTTCTGCTGGTGCGGCTTCTCGTCCTTCGAGGCGGGGCCATACTCGATGTCTGTCCCGTACTCGGAGGGGAGGAAGCGACGGACGGTTTCGGATTCGGCGGCCAGTTGGATGAGCGGGATTTGGGCGGCGATGGCGGTGCGGCCGAGGGCTGAGACGACGGTGTCGTATCCTGTAGTGGTGTTAGTTGGGTTGATGGTGGGGGGGGAGTATAGTACAATCTTGGGGACAGGCAAGGAAGGGGCAATACCAGCATAAGCCTTGCGCACATCGTCCGCACTTCCCAGATCGCCCACCAGGATATCGACCCCCTGGCGGCGCAGCTTGTCCAGCACCTCGGTCTTGGTCTGCAGCGACTGCGGGCTGGTGAAGATGGCGAAGCGGCCGAAGTGGGCCCGGTCGTCGAGCAGCGCCTGTGTGATGTACGAGCCGATGGCCCCGGTGGCGCCGAAGATGAGGATGTTGGCTTTGTCGGGCATTTTGATTTGTGGATTGTCGGGAAAATCTACACAGTAAATAGGGAGAGAGGTGTTTTGGTGAACACGAAGGGTGATGACACAATCGGTGAGGGGAAACTGAGGGGTTATTTATTGTACTGCATTTCGGACCGGGAATGCAATTACCCCGCCGGATCAAGATCCGCGATAAGATGACAACATCGTCGGCGAGGATAGCATCATAGCCATTGCTTCAAGTATTATCATTATCATAAGTCGTAAGAAAACATGCAATCTATACTTTTCCCTTTTCTCTTTTCCCTTTTTCCCATCTAACCCACCCATCTAAATTAGTCTTCCGTATCAAAATCATCATCTCCCCCCCCCCCCCCAAAAAGAGCTAGGTAACATGCTCCTTCTCCTCCTCCTTGGGAATGCGCACGCACGTCACGGTGATCAACGCCGCCAACAGTTGACACCCCAGCGCAAACCACCAGATGGCGCGCAAGCCCTGCAGCCCGACATCCCCATCCGGGGTCTGGTCGACGCGCGTGCCGATCGCATCGGCCACACTGGTCAGAATCGCCGAGCTGAGGTTCTGGTTCGTCACCAGCAGACTGCCCGCGCTGCCCTGGTACGAGCGCGCCACGTTGCTAGTAATGAAGATGGAGGCAGCCGCAAAGGCGAGATCGGGGCCGAAGGTCACCAGGGCGATGCCGGGGAAGGAGAGCGCCCAGTAGATGGTGTTAGCGGTTTGCGGGAGGAAGAAGGCCGGACCCAGGGTGAAGGCGAACATGGAGATGGTGTAAATGTAGTGGCCCGGCACGAGGTGCAGCGTGCGGCTGACGACCCAGGTCGCAAACACCCCGACCAGCGCGTTGGGGATGTGGTACAGCGCCACGGCGACGGGGGTCGCGTGCTGAATGCGCAGCCAGAACTGGATCGCATAGAACTGCCAGCAGCCGAAGAAGGACCCGAACCCCAGGAAGTAGGCAATCATCAGCGGGGTGAAGCCTTTCGTGCTCCACAGCCGATTGGGTATCAGGGGTCGCACCACGTAGCGTTCGGTGATGAATAGCCCCACCAGCAGCACAATTCCCACAACCGTCAGAGCGATTGTGTACGGGGACCAATTGGTCACTCCGCCCTGCGTCAGGCCGAAGAGAAGGCACACGCAACCGCCCACGGCGAAGGCCGCCCCCAGGTAGTCGAATTGCTTGATCGAGGGGGCCTCGGTGCCGGCCACATCGGCCACGGGACGCAGTGGGGGAATGGCGAAGAAGGCTGCCACGGCACACAGTCCGGTGATCATGGCGTTGGAGCCGAAGATCCACGGGAGGTGGTGGAAGAGAAGACCCCCCTGGATGGCTCCGAGGGAGAACCCGAAAGGCGCACAGGCGGCCATGGCGCTGAAGACGCGGTTCTTGCGGATGCCGGGCTTGTACACGCGGCCGAGAATGCTCATGCTCCCAGACACCAGCACCCCAATGGCCAGACCCTGCATGGCGCGGACGATAAAGAAGAGGATGCGGCGCGAGGGGGAGAGCGAGAAGGCCCCGATCAGGTTCCACAGCGTCAGCCAGCCAAACGCTCCCACCATCAGCGGTCGAGGAGGCGTGAGGTCTGTCAACGAGCCGGACACAACGACCGAGAGGCCGTTGGCAACATTGAAGGCGCCCACCAGCCAGGGCAGTTCGGTGTTGCTGATGCCCAGGGCGGCCCGGATCTGGATCTGCGGGGCCAGCATGTCGCCCAGGAGGAAGGAGAAAAGCATCAGGCCCACGGAGCAGACGGCAATCAGCAGGAGTTCGGCGCCAAAGCTGGACAACTCCGGAGGGACTCCCTGTCGAGCAGCCTTGGTGGCCTCGGGTGGTGGTGAGCCGGCTTCGTCGGCATAGACATTGTCGCCGGGGTGCACGGCCGCAGAGGGGCGTCGGAATCGGGGCCCCGTGGCCGACAGCTCGATGGTTTCCTCATCATCACTGATGTCCTCGCGGGGCCGGGTGATGGTCTGGGGGAATTTCTTCAGCACATCGGCGGGGACGGCGACTTTGGGTCCCAGCAGAGGATCGGGGGTTTGCGCCCCCGTGGCTGGAGTGGACGCAAGGCGACTGCTCCCAGCGCCGAGTTGGGAATCCGAGAAAGAGGTGCGGCGTGACATGGCAGCTGATGACAGTCCAGATACAGGCTTATCCTCGATCGGACTGGGGGGCTGCGAGTGATCGGGGGTGGGATATGGAGGTGACATGGTGGCGGATGGGGATTGGTGTGGATTGTCACTTCACCATCATGTTGAGCGGGGTGGTTTGAGCAAGGAGGGGGTTTAATAGGTGTTGGGAGCTCCGGAAAAGATCGTCCGGAGGCATTGCACAGCTGTACAGCTGGATTGCTCAATCTTTTTCGCATGGTGGCCACCCTGACGCTAAGGGTTCAAAATTTGCAGAGCTAAGCATCGATCCCTTGCGGTGGTTTGCGCGTCGCAGACCCGGTGGATCCCTCCATCCACGGTTGGCTCCACGGGCCCTGGGACACGCCAGACTTTAAATCAGTCAACGGCCTGGATCCCTCGGAAACTGGTTTCCTGAGCAGAGGCATTGGTCGATAAGCGGTTGCCACTGCAGTCCCCGTGGGTCGAAGGATGAGGGCTGGGTGGGATGGTGGATTTGGGCATGAAGATAGATGCCTGAAAGTGCTGAGGTGTATGCATTGACCTACTGTGTAGAACAAGTACACTGCTCGAGGGTCAGTCAGTCCGACACCGCAGATAAGCAAGAGACATACCAGATTGAAATCCACAGCTAGCCGTGCAATGATCTCCCGATCGACGGCGAGGCAGCAGGGCAGGGCAGCTTGAGGATCGCGGACCTATTCAAACAGGGACCGACGATCTAGGGTCTTCGGCTTACCTTCGAACTTATTGTGGGATACTGTGAGTGATAGTGCCCGTAGAGGGGGACTAAGCAGTGAACTTCATACTAAATTGGACTTGGGATGGCTGGACCTTCTCCTACATAAGTACTCCGTACAAAGACGCTTAATGCTACATCCACATCCACTTCTCCCGTCGGCCCGACTCCATTGCCCTAACTCGACCTACACCACCACCCCCATCGGCATCCCACGCATTCTACTGTCTCTCGAACGAGGCATCCGGTCCGATTTATCAAGCTGACCATCACCAGGTCAGGATCCGGAAGATCGGTCATGCAACAGGCAAACCCGACCGTGGCAGAGTGAGCCGATGCCGACCGGCAAGGATGGAGGCCGATGGCCGAGGGCATCATGATACAATGTTATAGACAAGTGGGAGTGTCAGCCCATTGCCCATATCAGTGACGATGACGAGGAGTTGTCTGATTGTCTTGAACCTGCTTCTATTACAATAGACAGTGACTTGACCTTAGCTAGATATATATCGAGTATACAGACAGACCGGAGTATATAAGCCAACGCAGGTCTCGGACGAATAACCTGCAGTAGCCGTGTCGAACCCATGACATTCCAGTCCAATCCTGATCCTGTAATCCTTCTTATCACATTACTTGCAGTCGCAATCACATCCACATTCCTTGCTGATCAACTCCCCCGCCATCCCCGCTTCATCTCACCTCCCATCTCACCTTCTTCGTCTTCTTCATCATCACCTCAACTCCACCCTCTACATCCACCACCACCAAACCAACCATGCCCTTCGAAGCAATCGGCATCCTCTCCATCGGCGAGATGGGCTTTGGCATCGCCCAGCTCCTCCGCGCCCACCACTACCGCGTGCTAACCTACGCCGCCGACCGGAGGTACAGTCCATCAACCAACCCCACCCCCCGATTAGTATCTCTCTCACCTCCCCTCCATCAACGCAGTGAATCCACCCAACACCGCGCCTGGCTGGCCGACATCGAACTGCGGCCCTCCCTGCAGAACCTCATCGACGAAAGCGACGTGCTGCTCTCCATTGTCCCGCCCGCCGAGGCCCTCCCCACCGCCGAACGCATCATCACCGCCGCCAGCGCCCGACACCTCGTGCGCGACAGCCCCTTGTACATCCTCGACCTCAACGCCGTCTCCCCCGCTACCGCCCGGGAATTGGCCCAGCTCTTCCGCACCACCGCCCGACCGGACGATCTCCGCTTTGTGTCCGGGGGAATCATCGGATCCCCGCCGCATTTCACCAAGCATCCACATCATGATCATACGCATCTTAATGGCACCCACACGCCTGACACTGAGGGTAAAAAAAAGGGGGAAGAAGGGGAGTGGAAAAAGCCAGCCCTGGTGGTCTCCGGCCCCGATGCCCTCCCGGACGCCTCCCTCGCCGCCGTCCTGAACATGCGACACGTCGCGCCCGAGATCGGCACCGCCGCCGCCCTGAAGATGTGCTTCGCGGCCCTGACCAAGGGCTTCACCGCGCTGGCGATCGAGTCCTTCACCACCGCTGAGGGGTTCGGAGTGCTGCCCGAGCTGCGCGGCCTGCTCGGGGAGTATAAGCCCGCTGCGCTGGGGATGGCGGAGCACGGCGTGGTGGGCATGCCGTCCAAGGCGTATCGGTGGGTGGAGGAGATGCGGGAGATCGGGCGGACGATGCAGGAGGGGGCCGGGTTTGGGCCTGCCGTGTATGTTTTTTCCTTCTTGTGGTTCTCTGGGGGGTGGTGCTGGCTGGCAAGGCATCGGTGCTGACTGCAACAGGTTCAATGGGGTCGCGGAGGTGTATCAGGCTGTGGCGGCGGATCCGGTGCTGGGGCTGGAGAAGCAGAAGGCCGGGGAGCTGAGACAGCGCGGGAAGACGGTGGAGGATGTGGTGGGCTGTTTACAGGGGAGTCTGAAGGGGAAGACGACGGAGTCGTGATTTCGATGGTTGCTGTATCTGTAGAAGAAGTCGGATGGGAGAAGACTCAAGGTCTAGTGTTAGAGGCCCATTGTTTACTCGTACGCGTGATGCAGCCAGCAATGATCAATTCGTGCGTGGATTGTACTATACTTGCGACAGTCGACATACAACCGGCATCATTGAATTAAACGAACGTCCTAAAAGTGTACACGAAGAGAAAAACGGTCTATACTGCATACTGCGGCGAACAAACCCCTCATTCCTTCATCGCTGAGCTAAATTTACAAAACAGCCAGGGCGAGGATGCCGACGACGGCACCGAGAAGAGAGCCGGGGAGGACACGGCCGGAGCCACCGGTAAAGAGGCCGGAGGAGGAAGCGGCGGCAGCGGAGGTGCCGGTGCTGGAGCCAGAGCCGGAGCCGGAAGAACCGGTGCTACCCGCAGCAGCGCTGGCGGAGGGGGTCAGACCGGAGCTGGCGGAGGGGCGGAAGCCGGGGTAAGTGCCGTTGCCGTGGCTGCCCCAGGTGCCGTTGCGGCCACCCCAGCTGCCAGAGACGGAGCCGGAGCCGGAGCCGGAACCAGAGCCAGAAGCAGAGGCACCAGAGCCGGAAGCAGAGGCACCGGAGCCGGAAGCAGAGGAGCCAGAGCCAGAGCCGGAAGTACCGGAGCCGGAGGCAGAGGAGCCGGAGCTGGAGCTGGAGCTGGAGCCGGAGCCGGAGCCGGAGCTGGAAGAGCCAGTAGTCTTACCAGAAAGACCGGTGGCAGAGGCAGAAGACGAAGAGGCAGTGGAGGTGGCGGAGGAAGTGGTGTTCTTGCAGGAGAGGTCGTACAGAGGGGTGGTGCTCAGGGTGCTGCCAACAACGCCGAAGCTAGGGTTGGGGGTGGCACCGTCGGTGTCCTGGAGAGTGTACCACCAGGTGTTGGTGTTGCCGAACAGAGGACAACCGACCTCGTCCCAGTAAATCTTGGCGTTGGCAGCGCTGGCGACCGCCTCGCCCTGGTTGTCACCGCTGACGGCCCAACCGGTCTCGGTCATCCAGACCTCTTTGCTGCCGGCAATCGCCTGGGTCTTCTCCCACGACTCGAGGAAGAGCTGCTTGGCGTTGCTGATGTCGTTCTCGAAGGTCGACTGCCAGAAGGGGTAGCCGTCGAAGCCGAGCCAGTCCACAGCCTCAATGACCGCCGCGTTGGAGGTGTTGGTCCACGAGTCCCAGGTGTCGACGTGGCCGATGGGGACATCAGCCAGTCCGGTGCCGGCGATCAGGTCGCGGACCTGCTGGATGTACTCGACGAGCTCGTCAGGGTTGATCCCGACACCGGCGTCAGCCTCAACACCCTCGACGGAGTTGCGGTAGAGATCCTCGCTGCCGACGGAGATACCGACGACGAGCTTGGTGAAGTCCTCGCCGTACTGGGAGATGGCGGACTTGAGGGCGGCGAGCTCGTTGGCCATGCCACCACCGGAGGTCCACAGACCGAGGAGGAGGGAGGTGTCTTGGGCGATGGCAGCGGGGATGGCCTCGATGGGGGTGTTGGTGCTGTAGGCTTGCTGTGGGGGAGAGTGGGGTTAGTTTGTTCCTCGCAAGTCAAGCACCGGAGTATACCTACAATCATGGTGTAGAGACGAGCGCTGGTGAAGCCACCGTCAGTGCCAACCAGACCCTTAGCAGTCTTGAAGGAGGCCTCGAAGTCGGCCTGGAACATGGAGCTCTCGTCGGCCTTCTTGTTGCCGTAGTTGAAACCCTGGGAGACAGCCTCGGCAGTAGAGGCCGCGAGGGCCATGGCAGCCAAAGTGGTGTAGTGCATTGTGGTGATAATGGAGGGATAGAGATTGACGACGGTGAGTTAAAAAGTCGTAAAGAGTGAGTGACTGCAAGGAACGGGAATTGGAAAAGAATGACAAGTCCACGTTCAAAGAATGATAGAGAAAGAGGGGGGGGAAGAGGATGGGGGATGGAGAGAGGGAGAGATGGAGAAAGTTGCAAAAGAAGGGCAGGGACGGACAGATAGATAAAAGAACCCACGGCAACGACAAAGAGTGGGAGAAAGCAATGCCCGTGGGTGAATGAATGAATTGCTTGGGTCTAGAACGGAGCACTCAGTAACTTACAGTAAGACTGGCAACAAGTGAAAGGCCTAACAGCCCTAGTCCCGCTCCAACGGGGCCACACACCACTGAGAATAGCACACTGCACACCCAATGAGGGATTAATTGTGCCTGTTGGCCCTGGAATCTTCATTGCCGGTGGATCCCAGTGGATTTTCTGACCACTGCCTGCACCAATAATCAGTCCGTCCCAAGACTGAGTGACAAGTCTCCCCCGTGGAGCCACCGCCGCAAATGAGGGTTGGCTGACTGGGTGCAGTGGTCCGGAGATGACGACCCTCCTGCTGTCCATCCATGTCTCTCTCTTCTGGCTGCCAGGTGTCTGTCTCGCCTGCCCCTGATCAATCGAAGATTAATTTAATTAATTAATTCATGATTGCACCAAACGATCTGGTCCATTCTCCAGGGGTTCTTCACTGTGTTCTCGAAATTCTTTTCTACATGTACTATCGTTCATCTCCCGATCGCACATCTCTCCTGTCTCGTCGTTTCCCCTGACTAGTTGCTCAAGTACAGTACCAGTACAAGTCATCATCCTGCTGCAGGTACCGTCCAATTTCACGGGGTCTAATTCTGGAACGCCAACAACGCACGGTGGCTTGCCCACCACCGGCGATCTTTACCTCCAGCTGGCAGGCGTCTTACCCGCTCCGATGATCGATCACTCCCCTAACTTACTCGTCCACCCCTCAAAGAGTCAAGGCAAGTCGGCCGGTATGCTCATGACTGACGTCAATCGTAGAATGACTTTGACGGTCGAGTCGTGCAGCTTGCCTCTTGTTCGTCTTTGATCCTTGCGTGGTGAGCAGTAAAGTTATCGCGTCGCATCGCATCATCACCTGTGCTAAATAAAGTCAGTCCCCGTCTGGACCTGTGCCCGCCCTCCGTGCTAGCTACCCATCTAGACCTCCATCTTCAATAAATATTCTTAGCATCTGGAGATGAACAATGGTCGGCCACTAATGACACTAGATCAGGGGAGGGGGGATGCATGGACCCGGGAGGTCACGTGCACACCGGGCATATTGGGCGACGGAGGGCTGCCGTGTCGAGGCGGTGCTTAAATTGCAGGAATCGGAGTCGACCTTGTTGGTTGGGAGGTATACAGTACCTCCCTCGTACCCCGTGATCATGTAGTCACAGAGGCTATACTATACACAGTGCCCGCAGTCGTATCAGTCCTAGCAAACCGATCTGAACCACACAATGCTCAAGCATCACCTTATATTCAAGCTGGGCAGTTCTACGTAAGCCCCGCGGGGCCGACAAACCTTGAACGGTGTGCTATTGAGGTCATCTCAGAGACATGTCTTAGCGGTCTATTCATAGATTCCCCTCATTTCCCATGGTTTTGCCCCCCTTGGAGCAAAGAAGATGCGCCACACACGCCACAGTACAAGCCAATCGGACCCCACCGCACTGAGGAAGAGTGGGTACACAAAGGCGGTCGACGCGTTGCCTGGCAGAGTGACTCAGCAGTCAGGCTTTTCTTGCTCAATCCGTGGTTTGTCAGCATCCAACCCGAGGTTCAATCTTGGGGCTGTGAATGTGCTGTGAATGTGCTGTGAATGTGCTGTGAATGTGCTGTGAATGTACTGTGAATGTACTGTGAATGTACTGTGGCAAGAACCACTCGCTCATCACCCAAGGTTTGCCCCTCCGCTATCGGCCACGTGGATTGTCCGTACAATAGTCAGGCCAATGGTGCAGGTACTATTGGTGCTTAATGAGGGCCAGCTGGTCGGAGTGCAGCAATGGGCCAGTGCTTCTGTAAGCGCTCTCTGCAGCACTGAAGTATACAGCACATATATTGTGCCGGCATATGAGAGATGCAAATACACAGTATATCTTCCACTACCAGGTAGCATGGTTGACAGATATCAGACATGCCTCTATACCTCGAGAAGCTTATTAAGCCACAAATGAGACAAATCTCCTCTACTCACCCCCCCCCCTCGCACCACCACTCGCAATCAAACCACCTCCAGCACCAAAACCCAATCCACATGCCCCTGTCCAACCGGCGGCGTAAACGCTCGCACCGAATCCTGCGCCCACTGCGTATAATCAAACGAGGTATACGTCCCATCCAACGGATCAAACCAACTCGCGCGCACTTGACACGAGCTCAGCCCCCCGGTATCAACCCGGAATTCTTTGCCCGTGGGCGTATACACCAAGATCCACTCCCCGCGACGATCTTTGGTCGCTGTGACCCTGGCATCATCCGCTCCCTCATCCCCGACCAGCAGATCCTGCCCCGGCACGCGTCGGAAATAGCTGTCCTTACCCCGGTCCATCACCACCTTCTGGATCCACTGCATCTGACTGGACGCCGGGAGAACGAGGTCCTGCGCCCAGTCGTCGCCCGGTCCACTCCCATCCGAGGCGTATAACCCGGGGATAGCCATTTGTTGAACTGCGTTGGCTCCGTAGGTTAGGCCTGCCGCGCCGGAGAAGACCTATTTTGTAGTCAGTATCTTACAAGTAACAGTCATAGGGAATAGGAACAGCAAGCAAGGGGTAGGCCGACTAACCGCCTGCCAGCTCCCGATGCGCACGTCACTGGCATTCCAATAGAACGAGTCGGGATTCCCGTCATTGTACCGGTGCTCGTAGTGCGCCTCGTTGTCGAGGACCGGTCGCGTAGAGGAGTTCCCCGCCGCATACATGCGCTCGACGGGCTCCCAGCCCCGCCGACAGTTCCACCACGGGATCGGAGGGTTGGGCGCGTAGTCCGTGTGGCCGGACTGGCTGCTGTCCAGCGTGAGCCAGCTGCGGTTCCCGAAGAAGGCGTGCGCTAGGGCAATGGGACCGCCGGTGAACCATTGGTTGGTGGGGTGGATGGTCATGAGAGGTTGCCATTTCTCTGCTGCTGAGGAGGATGCCGTTGATCGAAGGGCCTGCCGCTCGCCGGCCACGATCCCCTCAGCTAATGCATCGTAGACGGGCGACCAGTCCACCGCTTCAAGGGTCGGGGAGACTCCTCCTCGGAGGTAGTCCACCTTGACGGCGGTCTTGTTCTGCCAGTAGGGGTTGGTGTCGGCCACGAGGGTCTTAGGGAGGTAGGGGTACCGCTGGCCGATAAAGTGGCCGAAGCGGGCTGCGGTCGTCGAATTGAGAACGCTGGCGGAGTTGTCGCTTCCATGCACGAACTTCCCCCACGCGGGCACCAGACAGATGCGGATGTCTTTGCTCCATGCCAGTGCGACAATTGAGTCGATATAGGCCCAGTACGCCTCGTTCGGTCGCGTCACATCTTCGTCGATGAACGTCAGGTCGCCGTTGCGGTTGGGGCTGGTGATCCCTTCCTGGGTGAAGCCGACGGCAAGAACAACGGTGAATCCCTTGCGTGCGCGGTCGGTCAGGTAGGTCTCCGCCTCGCTGTAGTTGAGCCGGTGGAACAGCAGCCACGCGGTGTCGGCCTGCCAGAAGAATGGCTCGCCGGTGGACTGCTGCAGGAAGCGGCCGTCCGGTGAGGGGGCGATGGCGTAGTCGCTAGGGACTTGCCAGGCCACCACGGCGTGTATGATGTGAACAGCGAAGTAGAGAAGGGCAACTCTGAGCATGATGAGTTATGGTACCTCGATTATGGCAGTCATTGCAGCGACAGTGTGGCAGTCGACCTGGGGAGATCTTCGCTTTTCGACCATTGGAACTGCTGCGCAATGCAGAATGACCGCATCTGAACATTACACAATGTTGCAGTCTCTTCGCGGCGAGACAAGCATATGCAAGGGGAAATTCCCACCAATTGCGAACTGCTGGAGACATGCTGCAAGATGCTGGACCGGACTGTGTACTGAGTCCTGTATTCCGTGCTCCGGCTAAATCCAACTACCCCGCAATTTGAGGACTTTCGTTAGGGCACGGCCTGTACGCGAGAAGTTCTGCACTGACATCATGCCAGTCGCCCTCTCTCCCTCTCAATCAGCCTATTTGAACCTGCTCAATAAATCCCCTGCATGATCGTTAGACCGCCTCACAAGAATCTCCACCAACCATAGAAACCAAGAGTTATGAATCTCCCCGCATCAATGACCGGGGAAGCTGCCGCTGCGGGCTCTTGGTCAGTTAAAATACTACCGGGGGGGGGGCACACCCTGCTATCAGACATAGTTCCCCCGAAAATCCACATTCAAAACGCTGACACCTATCCAACGCGATGAAGTCGGCGCTTGGGGTGCTTGTTCTGGCCCTGACCGCCAGCCCTGCGGTCTGCTCACCGTCGCGGCGATCGCAGGCAATGCTGAAGAAGTTCTCTTCGCTGGTGATCTTCGGTGACAGCTACACCGATGACGGCGTCTATTCGTATGCCCCGCCAGTGGCAGCGCAGGTATGAATGCTTCTCTATCATTGCTGCAGCCCAAAGACAGCCACTCACAATCAGAACCACAACAGTCAACAGACGAATGGGACGGAGGGCGCGCATGGCCAAGTTACGTCCAGCAGTACACAGGGATCAACCTCTACGACTACGCCGTCGCGGGTGCCGTCTGCGACTCCGTGGAGGCCGATTCCTCGCGCAACGGGGTAAAACAGGACCAGCTGCCCAAGTTCCTCGCCGACAATGAGTATGTCAACCAGACTACCGGCCAGGCCGCTCTCATCAACCGACCCGCCGAGACGGTCTACGCGATCTGGATCGGCACCAACGACCTGGGGCCCGGCAGTTTCCTCACCGAGGTGCAGCCCGCCGGCATGGCCCTGACCTACTTCACCGACTGCGTGTACACCCAACTCGACCGGCTGCACGCTGCCGGCGCCCGCAACTTCGTGCTAATGAATCTCGTTGCTCTTGAGTTGGCCCCGGAATACGCCACTCCGCAGAATGGGGGCCTCCCCACGGGGGAGTACTGGACAGACAAGTCCACGTATGACCCGAACATCACGCAGTCGAGCGAGAAGATGCGCCAGTACTCGACGCTGGTGAACGCGGTGTTCAATTATCAAACGCCGTACGAGGTGCAGATCGCCAAGAGGTATCCGCAGAGTAGCTTTGCACTCTATGATACGCATGCTCTGGTAGGATGGCTCAGTTGGGAAGTGATGGATGCAGGCTAACATATCACGCAGACGACGGATATCTGGGAGAACCCGTCCCAGTACCTGAACGGCACGGCGCCGCTCAACGTCACCAGTTCGATCTATCGGTGTGGCTCCGCCTGCAGCTCGAGTGCGGTCCGGGACAGCTATATGTGGTGGAACGACCTCCATCCGTCCGAGCAGACGGATCGCATCATTGCGCGGGAGTTTGTGAATGTGGTCAAGGGACAGAGTCAGTGGGCCAAGTATTGGAGAGGCTAGACTGTCAGATAGCGCGGAATACTGCAAGCGTGAGCCTTTACCTATACTTCTGCACAGTGACTCGTAGTAGTTGTCCAATCAGTCCGTTAAGACAGATACAGATTCCCCCTTTTCGTCTTACCTACCGGGCGGCCCGGGCTGGAAGGGGAGCAACCAGCACAAGCCTAGCCATATACACATATAACAATAGACTGCTAGTATGCACTATACAGGATTAGAGTGGGATGACATAGGGAGGAATTTTGTAGGCCTTTCTCACCAGTGTAGTCGATAGGTAAAAAGGGGTCCTGACGGAGAGCATCTGGCAAGTCGAATCGCCCCGTCCAGCCCCCGTCGCATCCTCCACCCTAAGCCCAGATCACAATCCCATTGAACTTACAGACGTAAATGCAACACCGAGCAGTGATCGACATATTCTATCGACCTTTGCAAATAGACTGCTACTCAGTAGACTACTTGGATGAGCCCACCCTGATCCGTCGGATCCCGTCATTATCTCCGAGGGAATTCCCCGAGACCCAGTCACCGAAAGAGGAATGGTCGCTTCACCGATGCATGGTTAAAATGTCCTTGGAAGTCGACAGCAGATGAATGAGGAAGCATAGCAAATCACAATGACCATCACGAGCCAAGAACCCCGACCGTTGCAGGTGTTGATCGTCGGAGCTGGGATTGCGGGCCTGACTGCCGCCATTGCGCTGGGCAAACAAGGGCATCATGTGGTGGTGTGTATATCTTGATGACATAGCCGGGACCCCATGAGGTGTATGTGCTGAGCGTCCCAGATTGTGGAAAAGTCCAAGTTCTCGCGCGAGGCTGGCGCTGCGATCCATGTGCCACCCAACTGCACTGCCTTGCTTAATTGGCTGGACATCAACCCCAGGAATTTTGGAGGCACGCTCTTGGAACAGGTATGCACTTGGCCTTCCGCTGTTTAGCCTTCTGGCGTGGCAGAATGGGATAGATGCTCACTCGTCGACTAGATTCATCGGTATGACCACCTGGGCAATCTGAAGTATAAAAAGGAGTTCGAAGGCATTCGACACATGTGGCAAGCAGTGAGTTGACCAGTGTTGTCACTCGAGGATAAGGTGCTAACTCGTCAGGAATGGTACCTTGTGCACCGAGTCGACTTACACAATTATCTCAAGCAGCGAGCCTTAGAGACAGCCACTCTGCACATGGGCTGTAAGATTGGCGGGATTGATGTAGAGAGTGAGCGCCCTTCGGTCACCCTAGACAATGGAGGAAAGCTCGAGGGCGATCTGCTGCTTGGGGCTGATGGTCTTCACGTACGTATCCCGGGTGAAGTGGAAACATGAGATGAAGAGACCTTAACCCGCGCGATAGTCCATCGTCCGCCACGAGATAGGACAACAACCACCTGCTCCCTTCCCGGCGGGCAAGTCCTGCTTCCGCTGGCTTCTGTCCACCGATGATTTGCGCCAGTTGGCCGCGACCAAAGACATTGTCCAGGAACCTGGTGTCTTCATTGAATGGGCAAGGGACGATCGACGCTTGGTGGCATATCCCTGTTCCAATAACAACGTGTTCAATCTCTGCGCGTTCCTCCCAACGGCCGAGGCGGGCGGGCTTGGCGAAGGTAAGCACCAACCTCGAATCAAATCCAACATCCTAACCTGGTAAACAGGCTGGCAAGCGGTCGGAAGCAAAGATGCACTCGCGTCCGGGTTCTCCAATTTCGGGCCCGCAGTCAAGGAACTCGTGGACAGGGCCGACAACAACCTCAAGGTCTGGGAGCTCTTCGACATGAAAACCCTTCCGACATGGGTGAGAGGTCGGTCAGCATTGCTCGGAGATGCGGCCCATCCCTTCCAACCTTGTGCGTGACAGAGACTCTCCCCGGACGATCACAGTAGGCTAAAAGCCAAGCAGATATGGGCCAGGGTGGCGCTATGGCCATCGAGGATGCCGTTTCCCTCGCGGTCTTACTACCGGCTGGTACTCGCACGGATGACATCCCTGCCCGTCTGGCATTGTACGAGGAAGCCCGGCGGTCCCGTGTCGAGCTTGTCCTGGATTATACTCGCATGAATGGCGTGGATGAAAACGACACCTCAACCCGGAGAATGTCCGGTAAGATCCAGTCCAGTCCAGAGTATAAGACCTTTGCTCATGATATCAATAGCTGCGGAGATGGTCAAATTCATGGGAATCTGCTTTTCACACAACGAAGTCATAAGTTCCACAGCACTGCTCGAGATGTCCAAGCGGGAGTAGAGGGATCGATAGATATATCCGATTTGATAGCAGTGTTGCAAGATATTGATTGTATGAAATGGTGCTAAGTTGAATACACCTATATTGGCACCCCGATTCAGGTTTCAGCTGGTGACAACAGATGCTCACATCTCCTCTGTCACGAGCCCTATACCCATGTCCTTATGCCGGACTTCTTCATCCGGAGCGAGCTGGTTATGTGTTAGCAGAGAACACGTAATCCAGGCAGCAGGAGTAGCTGACGTGCCAACAATCTTGTGCATGTCCGCATGCCACACAAGGTAGATTTCGGCACCTTGGTATTCGTGATCATTGCCGCCACTGATTCGATCTTGAAAAAGAGCCAGGGGCAGAGGGCCCCTGAGCAAAAAGACGACAGCAGTCGGATTTGAACCGACGCCTCCGAAGAGAATAGATTTCTAGTCTATCGCCTTAGACCACTCGGCCATACTGTCTTTGATGAGGTAATTGGGGTAAAATTGGCCTGGTAACATGATAATCAGAAAGGGACTGTGGGAGACCCACTTCTCGGTTGAGTTCCGCGGTTGTTGTCGAAAGTATCTTGAGCTCAAAGTATTGATGTGAAGATGATCATAGAGATGACTGCTTTCGAAAGCGGATCAATATCGCTTCAAATGAAGCACGCCTGGTGTTGAGTAGTGTTGAGTAGTTACAGCAGTACTCAACTGAATCCCTTTATTGCATACAAAGGAGTGCCTGCATGGGGCTCTAACCGGATTCAGCCTAGACAGAGCTACAGTTCGGCTTGCTTAATGGGATGAGTCAATGGTGAGTAATCAAGCGCTAAGCAACTTGAGGCTAGCGTCTTTTGCTCGATGAATCTCCTCTGATGGACAACAACATCCATGTTATTTGGATCTTGACCTGCATTATGGAGACTCGGAGTCTTTGGTAATCTGCTTCCTCTCTCTCACGAAGGCCTCGCTAGCTCCTGCTCTCATGAAAGGTGGTTTGACTTGGTCTATCGGATTTATGTGACGCGGATCGTCTGTCGAAACACGAT